CATCATATAATAATAAATGAAAAAAATATTAAAAAATAAATAAACAACTTAATGTAATCTAATTAACAAGCGATGATAAATAATATAATCAAAGTCAATAATACTAAGTGCTTTTCGCACTTACATTGACAACAAAGCCTAATAAGAACAACAAGTAATTATCGTTATAAATTATATTTGTACTGTAATTAGATAAAGACAGTTAAGTATTTAATACTTATACAAGCACATAACACATTATAATAATTATGTAAATCTCCTTGATTTTTATTAAAAATCTAAGATAGCTAATATTTCTTTTACTGGTTTTTTAAATCATTTCTTAAACAAAACTGTACATTGTAGTAAGGTAAAATAAGCAAAGTAAGCAAATATTTAAACACTATGTATGTAACATCATAAATCTTTATTTTATTTGTCTTCCTCTATATATAATTTTTATCTTTATGGCAATTTACAAATGTTATGGCTCATGATAATAAATTAAATCTTATAAGATGCAAGTTTACTACTGAAAAATTCCATTATAATTAAATTATAAAATAATAAGCCACATGTACTATTGATTACCCTGAATTCAGTGCATATTTTTAATGCAATGTTATAAGTTTTAATAACATAGTAATTTTATAATTTTATGTAATAAAATGAAGTTTTATTTTAAATTAAATTAGATTGATATTGCACTGCTATATACCGTGGCTTCTGAGTTCTGACTATAATATCTAAGCTGATTTAATTATTCGGTTGTTAGTTTAGCCGGCGAAATGAACGCGATGAACACTCGTAATAAACACGGCATAATATCTTAATTTTTTGTCGTATCTAAGAAATTGTTTATAAATCGGTTTCGAATAGATTACACATAATCGCGCACCTAATTGATACAGCCAACGTTCAATGCTACGATCGGTACCCGGTGTGCAACGCAGTTGAATTACGACGAAATTATAACTTAAACGAACCAAAACTAAATCTAACAATTATTTGTATCACAATATTTTACCTTGGGATACAATTGGAAGGAGTCCTGTCCACTTCCCAAGCGGCAAAAAGTTTCATGGGAACAGGTTTCGACGCATTAGTCATCTTTTCTGATTTATTTTTCTCGGTCATTTTAAATCAGCACCGATGCACAACTGGGTACAACTTTCACAGCACTGCACTTAGCGTCGGTTTCAACTTACATTGCTATTTAATCACTAAACATAGCACTATAATCATTTTTATTTTACTTCAGAAGCAGACAGGGTACCGACCCCGACATAAATACAACAATACTCAGTACACTTTCATACTGCGCTGGTATCATCGGCTAGTCGGCTACGAACGAAAGCACCGCGGCGTTCGATACGTTTGACAGATGCCATAACAGGGTTTCTATCATCTAAAAATGTTTGCCAGCAAATAATTATTTTCCAATTTGGTAGTTAATTTTTTAATATATTAAAAATTATTATTTGTTTACCTAATAAAATTTAAAATGACAAACATTATTAAATGTATTAAAAAAAACTTAAACTTTGGAGTCTGCTATGTGAACTGATGAAAAATTATAAGTAATATTTTAAACTGAATAATCCATATTAAATGCTTTTGATGTGAAACATCTAATGCGAAGGGTTAGACCGGCTATTGTTGTGGCGACGCCTCGCCACGTTGCCATGCGTTCGTATTTCTCACACTCTATTCCCAGTCGGCTTAGCGATTCCCTTCTCCCTCTCACTCACCACGTTGAGCTCGTATTTTTATTTTGATATTAAATTAAGATGCATTTATTAAATAGATGTTTTTCTTTTAAAAAAATCTGAATATTTTGTTTTTAATTATGTCATATTCACTGCTTTAAAAACCATCCTGTCAAGCATATTTTCTATACAAAATAGTTTCGATGTTTCACATCTAGCAAGCGTCCCACGAGGGCTTTAATTGTTTTTAAGCTAATTGATGGTCATTTTTTCCTTATCTCAATTAGATTCCGAAATATCGAAGATCTAAAAGAACTGAAATTTTATTAAATCACAGGGATATTGTAAGATTTAACTAGTGAAATTATAATTTAACGGATTATTATAATTTCAAAATTATAATTACCCAGAGTATTGTCGGAGTATTATCATGGATAATATTGCATAATATTGTAAGAAAAGGGGACGAGAGAATACATTTTAGGTATATTTAATATTATAATTCACTAAGCACATTCAGTGAAATTGTAATTACCCTAGAAATAGTTAAATTGTCAATAGACTTAGCAATACTAGGATGTGGTGGGATTTTTAACAGTACCTAGTCTTGTCATATTAAATATTATAGAATTATTTTAAGGTAAAAATGAAACTCAATAGTGTATATTTTATTATTTCAAAAATAAAACATTAAGTTATTAATTATTCGTTATAAATGAAAAAACAACATATTTAAATATAATTAAATTAGAGCTAAATAAAAAAATAAATAAAAAAAGCACTAAAAAGTAAAAAATAACTGATTAGTAGTTTTCATTTACTATACATACCTAATTTGATTAGGTATGTATGTATTTTTAGTGCTTTTTTTATTTTCGGAGTCGGTGTGCTTGGCATCATACCAAATTTAATCAAAATCTGTCCAAGGGATTTCTCGTGATGCATTCCCAGACAGACAGACCGACAGACAATAATTATAAAATCAAAAGGGTTACATACTCTATGCTAAAACTATAAATTTGATTTTTCGCCTCTGTATCGATAATAATGAGTATTTCAATAATATTTTCCAAACAATATTTAATGTACAGATTCGATTTTCTTATATTTACGCGAATATTTGACATTATAAATAAAACTATTTTTTCTGATTATTTCGTGGATTTATTTTGATATTTGGTTCCCGACGTTTTGAATGCTTTACAGCAATCATGGTCACGGGAGAGACTAAGGTTATAGACGTCTCAAACATATACTTGTTACGAAACAAATAAATCCGCGAAATAATCCAAAAAGATAGTTTTATTTAAAAAGTACAGATTCGACTTAGAATTTTATTATATGGTCAAATTAGAACATGGAAGATGGATAGAAAAAACTGTTCCGTAACTAAAGCACAGAAACAAAAGTTGCAGTTCAGAACTCATAAACCGACTAACATAGACTAATATATTGTATTTTATTACTTTTAAGCCTACATCTGTTTTTGCTCTTATTTTGATGTTGATCTGTGTAATTACTGAATGTTACAAGTTAATTAAAACAAATCATAATTACCATATATTTAACCTTTCCATTAAGCATTATTCCACTGTATTATGTGTAACATTTCACACTTTACTTTGATTATAAAAAATAGGTTCTTAGTTAGTTTAAAAAAAAATCAGAAAAATAATTTATTTCAAAAATTTATTAAAACACAAACATAAAAAAACAAGTATAAAAAGAATATTTTTTTATATAAAAATGTCTAATACTATTACAATTGCGCGTTGATGCAAGATACTATATAAACAAATAATTCATTTAAGCACACTATTTTTTTTTAAATAAATTAGATATATAAAAAAACAATATTTTCGGATTTTTTCGCGGATTTATTTCGATTTTTGGTTCCCGACTTTACGAATGCTTTACAACAATCATGGTCACGGGAGAGACTCTCCGAAAAAATAGTTTTATTTAAAATATCAAATTTTGGGGTAAATCTAAGAAAATATTATAAATAAAGCTTTAAGGAATGTTACGTAACATCCGATATTTCTACTAGGTCTTATTGTAGACTTAAATATCGAAATGGCGAAGATGTAGGTAATGGTGGCGTTTATTTAAGTTAAAATTTCCCATAACAGTTTTCATTGAAGAGAAGTTTACATGATATTTTCTTATATACTATAATATGTAAGTACTAATATTTTTCCACTTTCATTGGTAACCATGGCACATATACATATATTCTATAAGTATATATTACATTATGAAACACTATTTAATCTAAAACTTTTAAGAACACGAATTTGGGTTCTTTGTTAAACGCTACATACTACAAATTCATATTATTTATCCATATATAAGATTCGAAAACCTTGTAAAACCCTTTTCTTTAAAATGTATCTAAGGCTAAGTTTAGACTAGCTTCATTAGAATAACATTACTACACCTACAAACAAATAAATGAGAGCTATATACTATAAAATATGTAACAAATAGTAAATAAAAAAATACATAAATCTAATATTTTTTGAAATGAGAATATTTTCAATGAAGATAAGACATTCAATAAAAGCTAATGAAAAAGATTTTAATGTAAAAAAAAATATTATGAATCGGTTGAAGGTTGAAAATAACTATCACTATGGCATTACATATTCATATCCTCCTCCATATTCACTCCACATTATCATGATAATGCAAAAAGCACGATACTATGCCGATTGTTGTTTCTAATAAAAAATGGGTTTTAAACCTTAAAAGTAGGGAATGTATATTTTGACTTACATTTAAAAAAATATATCATTAATTGCACTGAACAAAATATATAACTAATTTTCCTGATAACGAAATCAAAAGCAAAAAATCAAAAATACACAATCAGTTTAAGGTTTTGAATATACGGCTCTACAATATCATTATCACATCACAGTTGTGAAGTATAATTTTACTAAAACCTGGTAGAACATTCCGCACTACTCATCACACATATTTCATTTTTAACATAAATAAAGCCAAAATTTAAACAATTTTAATCAACTAGATTTTATTAAAAAAATAATGTGTATCTATAACCAAACCCATATTAAAAGTCATCATCTCATAATTACAATCATTATTTAAAAAAATGAAACAATAAAAAAAACATACAGAAGATAACCTCTTCCTTTTTGGAAGTTGGGTATCGAATCATTGTCTCCATCATATGTATACCTAAAAAAAGCACAGCACTATACATATAGAAATATTTATAAAGAAAGCTATAAGTCCATGATGTTATAAGTGTGGGTAGTGGGTCCACTGTTGGTGGGCGTGGGTTCATTTGGCCACTTCAGGCGGGCAGTCCGGCTGGGCGGACGGGTGGGCAGCGCGGAACGCCGGGTGGTTTTCTAGTTCGCGGTCTATGCGCAATATTATTGGGAATGGACGCAGATCCACATGGAACCTGAAATTATAATTAAAACAATAATTTCATTATTAATATAAATGTTTGTTACTTTCTAACTTAAACGGCTGGACAGATTTAGATGAAATTTTGTACACAGATACTATGACCTCGAGTAACATACAGGGTACTTTTAGACTTATAGGGACATATCTGAGTGAAGTAAGTGTAAGTAAGCTTGTTAGCTTAATCCGCTGAATCGATTTAGATGAAATTTGGTATGTAAATAGTTTAAAACCCTGGGAAAGACATAGGATACTTTTATTTCGAAAATCAGCCCTTAAGGGGGTGAAAAGGTGGTGGAAGTTTGTAGGAGGAAATAATCATTTCTCAAGTAAGGAATATAAAACTTATAATGCCTATGTATATATATTATATAGTCTACTTATTCCTTAATAAGCGTTAAAAGTTAAAACATATTAGAGATGAGCCCAAGCAAAAAGAGGGCGGGTTGCACCTATCATAATAAAGTTAATAATTAAAGGATATGTACCTTCTAGCATTAAACACTTGTGGCACCAAGCAACAGTCAGCCAAAGTAATCTCATCCCCCACACAGTACTTGCCAGCACAGTTTGACAGAAGTTTCTCTACTGCTCGGAAACCTCTCATGATCCAGTGCTGCGCCCACTCCTTCTTCTTCTCTTCCCCCACATATATTAACACTATTAAGTTTTGCAAAGGTTGAATGCCAGAGGATATTACCTAGAAATATTTTAATTTTATTATATTCATGACACTTATATATATAAAAAGCTTGTAATTTTTTTCTGTTTGTTTGAATGTGATAATCTCAAGAACTACTATTCAGAATGGTGATTTTTTTTTAAATTTCATAACCTGTCTATTAAGGAAAATTATAGGCTATCTAATATCAACAGTGATTCTTATAGCGGAACATTTATGCATAAATTATAATGTACCTCACAAATCTCCCTAACTTTAGCTCTCTTAAAGCAGTCTTGGGGCATCAGCGGTCTCTGTGGCCTTGTCTCCTCTAAGTAATGCATTATACTTAATGATTCTACAAATGTGTGACCATCTAGAAATTAAATTGCTTATTAAAAATGGTACATAACAAATATGTCATATGTAAAATATCTTAATAACATCTTATAACTCAAAGAGTCCAGTATTATACATGTGTTCATTCAGTCATTCATCATTTAAGCAGTAGTGCAAATTTTAAAGCTTTAAAGAATATATGATACAAGCAATTTACTCTTATTTTGCTGGGGTGCCTTCCTGGGTGTCATACAGTAGCCCATGGGTTACTATGGTATCCATAAGCTATTGGTGTACTAAATGTCATCCAAATCTGTTCAACTGTTTTAGTGTGACAGAGTAACAAAATATATACTTACACAACATATTTTCGCATGTATAACAGTAGCCCATTGTTCATGTTTCTTTTTCTTTTAATTAAAATTTATGGCTTACCTATTACAAGTGAGGGGACTTGTTCCATTGGGTTCACCTCTCTATATTCATTACAGTGTTGTTCTCCTCCACCTTTGATAAGGCTTACTGCCTTTATATCATATGGTATTTCCTTCAAATTAAGTGCTATTCGTACCCTCCATGAGCATGAGCTTCGCCAGTAGGAATATAGCACTGGCTGGAAGTTATTTACACATATTGCTTTTAGTTAACAAATAATGTGTAATATATATAAGACAAAATAAAAGATTCTAAATATTAATATGATAGTGGCATTTCAAACAAATTAACAAATACTATCTACCAGTTATATAAAACTTACATTTGCTTCAATTTTATCACCCATCTTGATAAAATCAGACAAAATATTGTTCACAAGGCATGTAAAGTAGAAATAAGTTTATAACCAGTTTTCAAAGGCCAGTTGACTTATAACTTGAATAATGAATAACTAATATGGAAATAAGATACATAATGTTCATGTTAATAATATTTATGATGTTTATTTCTTTACTCACCTTAGCCATGGTGGAAATATTTCCGTTGTATTTCGAGTAGTAATTAATTTTGGCGGCGTTTAATGCACCGAATCAAAAAATATAATTTAAAATGCAATTTATTAAATATTTCACTTCAGTTTGTCTCAGCTTTTCGCAAATCGAGTTGATTATTTTTTATGCTTTTGATTTGGTAAGAACGCAATTATGGCACAAAATATTAAAATTTAAAAGCACCTAAGTGCCACTCATGCATTAATTTATAATCGAAATGTAAATATTGAATTTTTTTTAATTGCAAATGCACTATGCAGTCCTGCCCAGTCCTATTTTTTGACAAGTTTATGTTGGCAACACAAACTTAATCTATACATATCGTCGTTGATATTGCAATATGTTCTATGTAAAAAAAATACGATTTTTCGTTTTTTCGCAATTCAGTCTTGAATTTTAATTGTGAACGCATCCGTAAAACATTCTATGTGAACAGCCAATCAGAACACTCGAATTCAAACTGATGCAATAGGTCGTGTGACAAAAGTCAAACTGCAATTGGTTCTATGTCACGATTTGAGCGGTAACGATTTTGCTTTGTGGTGAATTTGTGTCATTGCTGTGTTTCTGTGGTGATTAATTGGTAAGTTCTTGTTGTAATAACTTGTAAAAGTTTGATTAATTGTGTTTAAGCTAAAAAATAACCTCATTGCCTGCGATTTTACCTATTCATTCTTCTGCCGCCTAAAATCTAACCTATAATAATGTTTGCTTCACAAATGTTTCGATAATCTGAACCATTCTGAATGTGGTTTTGAATTAATAATGCGTAATTAATATTAATTTGCTATAGGTAATGATATTTTATGCTTTGACCTAACACTAACTAAATTATTTAGGTTTATGTCTTGCTTCACACAAAGTTTTTATGACATAGGTCATATTGCATTGATAAGTTTGGGTTTGTGAGAGATGCTTTATTTGCTTTTAACAGATATTATAATGAATCGGCTGTCAAGAGGAAGACTGTTGGTTGACCTGGTCACTTCAAAAGATAAACTATGTGAAGTACTCGACGAAGTAACTGGAGAGTTTCGACCCACTTTGGCTGACGCTCGAGATCAGTTTGATTTAAGTGATGACGAGACATTCTACGAAATTTCGGATTTCGAATCAGTCGAACCTTCAGATCCTGAGTTTGTTGTTGATAATATTTTACAAAACTCTTCTAGTGATACGGAGATTGAAGAAGTTTTAGACGAACAACGTGGACAGTTAACACGTAAACGAAAAAGAGACGGCCGGCAGAAAAAGCGAAACAGTAAAGGTAAAGCAGATAGATCAACATGGAAAAGAATTAAAAACGCTGAGGCAAGACTTAAAGGAGAGCAGTATGAGGGCTTTCAAAAGGATGAACACGGAAAATATCAACAGACTGTCGTTCGTCCGGCTAAAACATTGCAAAGTCCCTGCAATGGTCATACTAAAACACAGCATCGTGGTCCGCAGCAGCAATTTGAATGTGATAATATGACTGAAAATGAAAGACAGATAATATTTCATGAGTTTTGGAAGATACCATCATGGAATGCTCGAAAAGTTCATGTCCGAAGCTTGACTACCATCAGCGCTCCGCAGTATCGTCGTAGTTCTTCGGAAAACAGCAGAAAAGGGACTTCTTTCAAGTATTTTTTAATGTTGCGGTCAGAAAATACTGCTAAAAGAATACACGTCTGCAAGGTAATGTTTCTGAGAACATTGGGCATTGGCCAAAGACAGCTGAGAGACTGGCTTACAGAAACTCCTTTGATTGCGAGGGATCCTGTTCTTACTCCAGCCCTATCACAGCCCGGGAAAGATAAATCGGAAGAAGTTAACAGTATTGTTGAATTCTTTGATAAGTTGCCTAAAGTAGAATCTCATTATTGCCGCAGCTCCACTACAAAGAAATATTTAGAACCTATTTGGAATAGCATTACAGGCGATTTATACACAGAATACATAAATTTTTGCACCACTAATAATAAGAAAAAACATAGCACTGCTTCTTTTTCCCGAAAATTTCATGATTTAAACATTTCTATTTTTAAACCTAGAAAAGATCAGTGCTGCAAATGCATTGCGTTCAAACATGGAAATATAACTGCAGATGACTATGCCAGCCATTTACAAAGGAAAGAAAGGTCTAGGGAAGAGAAACATAATGATAAAGAACACTCTGAGGTTAACACTTTAGTGTACACTATGGATGTGCAAGCGGTGCTGTTGTGTCCTAAAATGCAAGCATCAGCCACCTATTATAAAACAAAGCTAAAAGTTCATAATTATACACATTACAATTTGAAGACAAAGGAAGTGTTCTGCTATCTGTGGCATGAGGGTAACGGTGGTTTAGACAGTAATATATTTGCATCCATTTTAATCAAACATTTAAAATCTGAGCTAGAGAAGTCAAATGCCTCCAGAATCATCTTGTGGAGTGACGGATGTTGCTATCAAAACCGGTCTGTGAAATTGTCAAATGCGCTGCTAGAATTAGCAATAGAAAAAAACATTATAATTGAGCAAAAATACCTTGAAGTCGGCCACACCCAAATGGAGGTGGACTCGATCCACAGTACCATAGAAAGAAAATTACCGCCACATAGGGAAATATTTATCCCTGCCGACTACATAAATATCATAAAAAGCGCCAGAAAAAAAGATCCATACAATGTTATTTTCTTAAATTATGACGACTTTCAAAAATATGATGGCGGAAAATATACCAGCATTAGACCTGGAAACAAGAAAGGTGATCCTATGGTTACCGATATTTGCGCCTTACAATACTTGCCAGAAGGAAAAATTAAATATAAGATCAATTTCGAGCATGATTATGAATATTTGCCACGGCGGATTTCTAACACTGGTATGAGTACATCGGCTTTGTACACATCGCCGTTGCCCATCGAATTGGCTAAATTTATTCACTTACAAGAGATGAAACCCTTAATTCCGAATGATTACCACCCTTTTTATGATTTGATGGAGCATAATAATTGTGCCTCTTCTTCTTCCCTGGACTGCCCGCACATACAAAAAATATAAATAAGAGCATACTTACAAACTAATTAAAACTTATTTTAAGCTTGAACATTTTTATAATAAATATTCCTTTTTTTAATGAAAATGATTTTTTATTTGGTACTAAGTAATTCTACAGCAGAGTAAGACGTCACATTACATTATCTATTAAGTTGTTTAGTGTTAACTATAGTAAAAATGTAGTTTTCAAGAATAAAAACTGTTTGTGTACTAAAATTTAAATTGCAAAATGTTTGATGTCATTCTAATAATACCAATACGAGCCATAATTCTAAATGCAATAGGTCCTATGTCACCTTATTTCTTGATGGATATAAATATTATAGTTATATTTTAGCCTTAAGTCTTGGGAAATACATTAAAAAAAAATCATGGAAGAAACTTTTTGTTGAAAACCGATGGTTTTAACAAAAACGCGTTTTTCGCCTGTATTGTAAAGTACGTTTGAGTTGACATAGACTATATTGCGATATCAACGACGATATAATAAAATTGTAACTAAGTCGAATCTGAACATTAAATATTTTTTTGAAAATCTAATTGAAATAGACGTTATTATCGATACAGAGTCCGAATCTATAGTTGTTAGAATTTTTGTCTGCCTGTCTTTCTGTCTGTTACCGCATGACGAGAAAACCACTGGACAGATTTTGATGAAATTTGGTATGGTGATAGCTAGTTAACCGGGTCAACATATAGGATTTTTTACCGCGAGAAAATATCTCATTTCTGAGAAAAAATATAAAAACTACATTGTAAGAGTATACTAATATGTAAAACTAAGAATTTGGTTTTTGGTCATCTGAACGCGGGCGGAGCCGCGGGCAATGCTAGTATATAATAAAAATAATAATTTTAGCACAGCATTTATTTGAATTATGTTCGATATAAATGAATTATCAAAGTTGTAATGTTCTATAGAAAAAAATATTTTATTAAAAAAATCTCAATCAGCTGGGGTAACTTTGATCACTTTTCGTTACATCTTCATATATATATGTTACAGAAAAAGTTTCGTATGGTTGAGTTTTACAATGATTTTACAATTTACTCTGAATAGCACAGAGATAAATTATTCACTGGAACGGCACATAGATTACTTTTTATCCCGGAACAATATACGTTCCCGTGGAATACATTTGTTTTGAACTTATTGAAAATGAAAACAATAATATTATTACAGCTAGTGAGTGATATTTAAAAAATCAGTGACGAGCCACTGCCGTCTCGGAACAATATAATCAACGAAAGTTGGTGATATTCTTACTTGTTTTTGTTTTGTTTCTTGATTATTTTAATGATAAAAGAGTAATTGGATGTAACAGACTTTGTTTTAAGGAAACTTAAAAACATTTTCTTTCGCTGGCTTGTGTGGCTTACGGCTGTAACAGCCATAGTTCAAGGAAAAGTGAAGATAATTAAAATGTAACATTTAACCGATAAGTGTTTTTTGGAGCTTGTAATTGCTCGAAGCTCACCACTTATCACCAGGGGGGAGGGGCGAGTTTAAAAGTTGCTAAAAAACATCACGTGATTAATGGATGACCTCTAGGGTGAAGAGTCGTCAAAACTCGTCAGAGGTAAGTTAATTATGAACATTTTGGTTGATAATATCTGTGGGGCCAACAAGTGACATTGGTCTTCATAATCTGTATACTGTGCCAGTGTCCAGTGGACAGTGACAACAGACAGTTGACACTTGACAGTAAAGGAGAGAAAAGCCGAGTGTCGACAGCGCAATATTATGATTTTAAGGTTATTATAATATAATATCGACAACCATTGCGTTATTTTTCATAATATGGGTAAAGATAAAAAGAAAGGAGTTAAGGGTAATGTTTTTAAAGTAGCAGGAGCTAAAAGCTTGAAAAAAACTAAAGCCAAAGCTGTGAACCTAGGATTAAAAAAAAACGTGAGTGCCAAAAATTTTACATCAAAGAGACTTTAAATTTCTTTTTTTATAAAAATCTTGAACGTTTAACGTTCTTTTTATAAAAAAGTTTTCTTCTAAATATATTCTTTACTTACTAAATAAGTATTTTAATTTGTTTCTCATAATTATTCTTATGTTTTGAATTTCTGATAACTGATCAAAATATTAAATATTTTTTGGTGTTGAGTTAATATTAAAATTTATTTTACAGATAAAACAGAATATTGTGGATATAGATAAGCAGTTTTTAGATATAAGTAAGAATCCGAAAGCAAGAACTATAGAAGAAGCTAAAACTATAGTTAAACCAGAACAGAAGAAAACTGAAAGTAAAATAACGAAAGAGGAAGTGGCATCAACAGCTGATCAAATAGTGAAGATGGATTTATAGAAAATATGACTTTGTCATTGTTTTATTTTATTAGCATTATAATGTGAGATCATGGACGAATTAGAGACTGGACCTGACATAAAATACAAATGTATGAAAACTAGTTCAACCAAGTGACGCATAACGCACACAAAGATTTTATTACATTATTATAAACACTGATACACAATACAATATTTCTAGTGTTTGAACGTAATCGATAAAATACATATATCGATGAACCAATGAATGACATTTTAGACATTGGTTAGCATAGTCATCATTATAGTATTTTCACATCATTATAGTTATAGTATTTTTACATCTTTTAATTTAAAATATCTGTATTTATTATAATAAATTAAAATAAATGAATTAAAGAGGCAATAATAATGTGTCAAATAATAATATTTTTTTAATTTGATTTATATAAATACGATGGCATTGATGGCAACATTCTGTTGGTATATAATAATGTTAATAAACAAATGAATATCGGGTGTATATTCCATTAATATATAATAAATATTATTTTGTAAAGATTAAAAAAATATTAAGCTAATTTAATTAAATAAAGTGATTTTGTTGATTCTGTTATTGAACTATTTTAATTGGCAATTGATTGTCTCGGGTAGTTATAAAAATGTGACACTGTCCTAATATTGCTCAGTTATTAATAAACATTTGTGAAATTAGGAAAAAGAAAAAGTAATTGCAAATTAAAGTGAGTGTTGGATCGTGAAAGTAAAATAATTAGTGCAAGTGGTAAAGTGTTTTATTACAAATCGCCAACCCAGAAGTTTAGTGCTAAAACATTATTGTTTGATTTTGTGTAATTTATGTATAGAAATAAAATGATCTTTATTATTATTACAATGGAAAAATATTCCAAAGTATATAAATGTGGTATAAAATAAAATAAAAAATTAAGTACTCATACTAATTATAATTTTTGCATTTATATTTTTATTTGATTTAGAAAATATTTTTATAAATTTATTGTCATCAGATTGTAGGATACTGTGATAAAAGTATTTTATGTTATTGTACTGTATAAATAACACAATTCGTTCAGTTATTTCGTCAAATATCGATATATTTTTCGACATTGTCAAGCACTAGTCGATGTCAAATGGACTCACTCGACAGTTTTGTCATTTGTTCTGAATGGTATAATCCAGCCCGTTTATGATGGTTGTCAGATGTCAACAATACATAGAAATATCGACTATATTTAACATAGTTGGATAATATGACATTTTATTTTACATTTAATTAAATTTTGTGATAAATAACAATCAATGTAATAAAATAATGTATTTACAAGTGAAAAGATATAGTGCTGCTTCCGCCGTTATAGTTTTTACACCATTTAACAGAACATTTAGTCATTTTTGGGAGATGTTTTGTTGACAAGTAAGTGCTTGAGACTGACACAAGAAACAAACGACCTAGGCTAAAATTCCCTGGTTACTGACATGACCGTTAGAGGTACGTCCGCTTATATGTCTGGTCCAGTGGTTAATTCGTTCATGTGTGAGATATTCTTGTTATAATAAATATATATTTTAATACTGGTATGATACTAGTACAATAAATCTTGCTTTGCCTTTGCTCATGTATGTTTTGATCAACACACATGTTAGTGAGATTGGTGTAATTTTTCTACTTAATTATATATTGTTTGCAATTATAATTTAGTGCAATAGTTGTGATTCTTGTAATTAGGTGTTTATCGTATTGATTTGCTTAATTTTTCTTAGTGTGTGTGTCTTAGAAAAGGTAGATAAGTTGCAAGCATGGATGGTGATCCACCACCTGAGCTGCCTGATCCCGGAGACTCTACTTTTCACACTCCCAACACTGTCACCTGTCAATTCAGTGTCTATGAATACCTTTCCATGTCTGAAATTTCCACTGACCCTGCAGCGGGAACCACTATAAAAGCCATTAATTTTGGTTAATTTTTGCACAATAACAAGATTCCTAATATAATTAACATTGGAGTCAAAAATGTTGTTCCAATAAAATCATTGTCCAATTTTCTTCTGCTGAATTCTTTTTCTCTTTTTTTAAAAAGGTATTAGCTGCCAGCTAATATCTTTTTAAAAAACCCCATTTTGGGTAGGTGCAAAATCAAGTATGTAGCAATAGTTCCCACATTCAATATAACAGATGGGTCTAATCAAAGGAAATCATGTTGACTGGGCAATGGATGATTTGTTGAGTCATTGCAATTCCTCTCCAGCTGTGGTTATGAAAGCGACAATGAATTGCAAGAGCATATGTGACTCGGTTGTTATAACTTTTAGGGGACCACTCCACACACAAATGCCATTGCCACACTTCACTTCCCTCCCTGTTGAGATCTAAAAATTACCTACCATACAGTCCCTCAATTGTTGTCGCTTTGGCCACATTAAATCACAATGTAGATCTAAGCCAAGGTGTTTCAGGTGTTCCCAATCACATATTGGGGATATGTGTGACATAACCAAGGAAAATTTAACTTTTTGTTTGTTTTGTTTTGGTATGTTTATATTGTACTAGCAAACACTTTGCTATTGACAAAGATTACCCTGAATTTATTTGACAACAATCTATTAAAATGGTAGTGTCACAGGTGAATGTTTCTTATATAGAAGCATCGTCCCATTTTCCATCTGTAAGGCACTAATAAGCTGATATTGCTAAAGAGATGTTCTCTCATCCCTCTTACACCAATGCTCCCTTTAGCTCAACTGAACCTCAATCTTCTCTCGCTAGATTATATTTCCAAACAGTTTTTCGTTCACCACATCCCCAAGATTCTTTAGCGAAGGGATATGGCAGGAAAGCTCATCAAGCAATCGTTACCAATTACTCTTTCCCCTTTCTAAAAGGTATCCTACAAAGGTACCTACTAACTCCCATCAAAGCCTTATTTCTACTATCCACCAGTAACGATGTTCCTTTACCGTCCAACGTTGTCCAAAAACGAATTCATATTTTTAACATAGTAAAAAATGGCTCCACTGAACTTCTTTTAGTGGAACTGTAAAAGCATCCATCCTAAAAAACATGAATTAATCCGTCTTATTTCCTTACAGCAAATTATTTTTTATAAAACTTTCTTCAAGGTTATTTAAATAAAAATAACATTTGTTAACTTGTCTTTTATTGTTAAATTTAACAAAATATAACATTTTATAACACTTAGCTTACAACAGTTAAAACATAACAATGTTAGGTAAATGGTAGTAGAGTTCACAATAAAATAAAATAACTTTCTCATAATTACGTAAAGACCTTACGTAATAGAAAGTGATAGAAAAAAAAATTATTGTGTTACGACCATTTTTCTATTGCATTATTCATGTATTGTAGCACATACATGAACGACGAATAGTTTAGAAGTGAATGAAAATGCATAACTAGAAAATGTCTAGTTTAAAATGACTTATAGATTTAATCTAACTTTTCTATAGCGAATGTATTGTTTTGTTACTGAAGTGAATTGTTAGATTGAAGTGGATAAGTCTATGTTTATTCTTCATCAGTGACGTCAGGTTCCGCCTTTTCATCTTCACTGACTTCCAGAGCATCTTGGGATTCAGCGGGAACTTCGGGGACTACGTCGGGACTTTCAGGTTCCTCAACAATGGGTTGCGTTTCTTCTGCAGGTGCTTCACTGTAAAAACATTTCGAAAATATTTTGTTACTGATTCAAATAATTTTATTGTTGATTGTAAGAGTTGTACTTTTTCTATTTGACTTTGACACGCTTAACTTAGGAACTGCTGAACGGCTTTTACTAGGACTTTATTATGTTAGGGAAGATAATCTTACTACTATTATAAATGCGAAAGTTTAGATGGATGGATCAACCACGCCAGAACGGTTGAACGCCACGGAGATAAATTATAGTCTGGAATAGCACATACGTTATTTTTTATCCAGGAAAAATGTACGGTGGGCAACGAGGGCGAAGCTAAAGCTTCAATTGAAATGTAAAAAATATGTTTTTTTTAGTAGAATAAGCGAAGTATTCTAATAAAAAAAAATTTTTTTTATATTTTAATTCAACCTGGAGCTCTACCAAACTACATTGATGTATATGCTTATAAGTCATATATTAAAGATTACTTGCACCCACCTTAATTATACTGAAAGGTTAATTAAATATAAAGAAAGTATATAATACATTACCTTGATTCAACAGCGGTGCTGTCTCCTGCAGACCCACTGTGTGACAGTTCCTCAAGACGAGCGGCGGCTAATTCTGATTCTTGTCTGGCAATTTCCGCTAATTCAGCCGCCTATAGAGCAAACACTTTATTAAAAAACAAAAATTTGTTCGCAAATTCATTCATTCAAATAAAAGTCCGGTGGCGCAGGACCAACGGTTTAATGTGCGAGACATGGGTGGGTAACAACCAACTTCTAAATTCCGAACTGACATATGCTTTGCCCTACCTGGTACTCGAACCCAGGATCTCATGATTTACAGCCATAGCTTCTAGCCGCTAGACCAACGAGAGTTTAATGTTAAAACTTATACATATATTACTTGCGACTCACACTCGCTTCGCTCGGGTTCGTCCCTAGCTTGCTTTCCGATACAAACTTTCATCCCCATTTTCACCCCCTTTAAGGGATGATTTCCGGAATAAAAAGTACCTTAAGTATAGATCCTATGTCCTTCCCAGGGTTTAAAACTATCTTCTTACCAAATTTCATCTAAATCGGTTCAGTAGAACCAGAGATTACCACCTACAACGTCACAAACTCACAAACTTTACCTCTTTATAATATTAGTATAGATCCGATAAGTGGCAAGTGGTGTAGTCAAGTTATTTAACAGACTTTAAAAATGAGGGACTTGATTGTACGTCATATCAGGATCGAATTTCAAATTTTTTTGAATAGTATTCTTTACCTCAAAGATAGTCTCATAAATAAAAACAAAACAGCCTTTGCTTCATAAGAATTCTTTTAGTTAATCTTCTATATAAATAAAAATCGATGTTGGTAAGCGCATAACTCAAGAATGGCTGGACCAATTCGGCTAATTTTTTTTCGTATGTTCCTTAAGGTGCATGGAAGGTTTTAATAAACAAAAAAAAGGAAAAATTAACGAAAAAAAAATTATATGGCTAACGCTGGCTAATAACTATTTATATCTATTTAAAACGTACCTAGTAAAGAATGAAAATCAAAAAGGAGATCAATAACGCTGAACTGTGTGCTAAAAACACGTTTTTAAATATGTACCTGTCTAGCGAGTTCAGCTTCACGTTCTTCTTGAGCCTGACGTTCTAATTCTTCCAATTTGGCTAATTCTTCTTGTCTTCTTTGTTCAGCTAACCTCTCCTCTTCCAAGCGCGCCTCTTCTGCTAACTTCGCCTCTTCAGCAAGCCTGGCTTCTTCAGCTAGTCGGGCTTCTTCGGCTAGTCTGGCCTCTTCAGCCAAACGAGCCTCTTCAGCTAATCTAGCTTCTTCGGCTAAACGTGCTTCTTCGGCAAGTCGGGCTTCTTCCGCTAACCTAGCCTCCTCAGCCTTGCGTGCTTCCTCAGCTTGCCTAGCTGCCTCTTCAGCAGCTTTTTTGGCCTCTTCTTCTTTTTTCTTAGCTTCCTCTTCAGCCTTCCTAGCTTCTTCCTCAGCTTTGCGTTTAGCCTCTTCAGATTTACGCGCCTCTTCTTCCGCCTTCTTTTTTTCTGCGGCTTCACGTTCAGCCTAAAATTGAAGATATAATTATTTTTATGAAATTTGAAGTACAGCAATCACATGATTTATAGACCTAAAAAACATTTATAAACCTACCTGCGCTTTGCGTTCAGCTTCACGTTTAGCTTCTTCTTTCAAAGCTCTGAAAAAATAACAATGGTTATAGATGTTGCAATTAATATATTAAATTGGCCAGTTTGATATATTTATGTCAAATATTTAACTAATAAAATGTTGTTTTAATATTTCCGAAATGCAAGACCAATTTATAAAATTATGAATTTGATTCCCAAATAGTTCATGTGTTTTGTATTGTGACAAAACTGGAGTAATGTAGAACGAACATAAAATATTATTATTGTTCTAAAATGTAACACTATACATATAAGAAATAAGAAATAATTGTTAAGTATGATTCAATTTTTAGACATTTATCTATGAAACTCACTTTTCTTCAGCAGCGCGAGCCTCTTCCTGCCTTTTTCGTTTAATTTCAGCCAGATCAGCGGCCGGTGCGAGGACAGGCTCGGCTGTGGTAGCTCTAAACCTTGCTGCACGTTCCGCCTTCGCCGCTTTCAACTCCAGACCAGGATCTTCCATCGTCTGTGGCGCCTGGAACTTGCGGCTGGGCCTCCACGGGAGGAGTTTCACTGCGCCGCAGTAAACGATCGCGTGGTACCGTGACCAGTCGGGAAATGATTTGCTTAGGCAGCTGGCTGCAGAAGCTTGTCATTTTGCAAGAATGGTCACAATGAAAGGTAAGCGCAGCAGCACAGCTCGTAACGCTCTTGACGTGAATACTCCGCCTTATCGGCTTAAGCGATGGAATGTATATCGCTGATGTTTATTCTGTACTTGCTACATGCTGTGAGCCGTGAAAGCGTGTTCGGGCCGTGTGCATATTATCGATCAAAATGTATTGCATAAAATGTTTTTTAACAGTCTGAGAAAAAATATATACAATTTATACAAATGGCAACTAATATTGATTTATATACAGATGTTCTAAAAGAGGTAATTATTGCGATTACATTCAGTAGTCTCTTCCTCTGTACAATATTATGGGGAAAATCAAATGTTTGCAGATATCCTAAAAAATGGGTTAGTAAAGAAAGCGAAGCGTTAAGCAAAAGCCCGGGTATAACAAGAATGAGAACGTTAAGGTCTAACATGCAAACTAATTAAAACAACTAAAAGTGATAAAATTATTTATTGTTAAACAAAATCAGTTCTGTTAAGTGGAAACGAGACGTCTCGATCACCGCGTCGATCGCACTACCACGATTGTGAAGTGTACAAAGTTAAATTTGTATATTAATAACAAAATATCATATACATATGTGTAAAATACTAAAAAAATATAATATATGCATTCGATTAGTCGGGCCGTGTTATATATACTAAGGGTGGCGAACCTTTAACATCTGTGGGGGGTAGTTGTAAATATTTTAGTTACTAATATATCAGTGATGCGTGTCCTTATATGGCATTTGAAAACACCTAACAATGACACTTGAAAGTATTAACTCTCTAATTTATTTACAATGCATTACAGCTTCGAAGTTTGTACACCTTCTATTTTTTAAAAGATAAATGACTATATGTGCAGCGTTTAACTTACAAAAAAATACACGCGTGCCGGTTAGAACATACGAGTATCTACATGAAAAAAATAGAGAATTGCTTATAGTTTTAAATTTTGAAGCAATATACAAAGGGTGGTGTCAACGGTTCGCCGCCCTTGTAATACCAAGAAGGACAGGAGGGTCGGAGCTACGCGCACTGCGCCGCTGCCGCCTGCTGCGCATCATCCGCTGCAAGAGACACCATACCCAGTGTTAGACACTGATTTTATATTCCTTTTTAATTTCCTCGGTTTATACTATACGACGCTGGAAGTGGAATTTAGAAAGACGCTACAATGAGGCCTCGTAACCGTTATTATTGCGATTTGAATTTTAGGAGACCGATCAGGAATCCAAGAATTATTTGGGACTTAATAAATTAATTATTATTTATCGAATAATTGTTGTGTTTTCTTAAAAATAAAAGGAGCGTGTTCATCATTTACCTATAAGGATTTTGAACATGTTATAAACAGTTATGTCATAAGGTCTCATGAATTGCTATTTGCTACGAACAATAATAAATAAGAATCTAATGGTCTAAATGAAGAAGTGTCAACATTAAAACAAATATACATCTCTAATGGTCTAAGTTTAATGTAAAATGTATAATATAGATGTAGTAGGTACTTATATAAACCTACATATCACGAGTTAATTATATACAAGATATGTACAATAGTTACGAGGTTGCTCACTGCGCTTTATTTAGCTTTTTCTTTTAATTTTGCGGAGGAAAAGCGAGCGCTAGCTAGGCGTCATTAATGTATAGTGCTACCAGGTTACCAGATATATACAGAACCTCGGATGCAATATTATCAGGTACGTTTCAGGTAACATTACATGGCTCGCAAGCTTACAATCGTTTAATTTAAACATATCCATTAAAGGTTCAAGGAAGAAGAAATTCCCATGATTAATTGCTAAACACATAAAATCACGAAGAAAGTGTAAAAAAGAAATAAATATATAGTTATTAGAAATTATTAGCAGAATTTTTAATTTTTTCACATTATAATTTTGGTTTTATAATTATTTTTGCTTTTCTGGACCTGGCAACACTAGACTTTCTTTGTACCTGTGGTCTGCTCGGTGGCCAGACCCGCGGCGGCCAGTCTGTTCTTCGCGTAAAATGAAAGGAGATTCACGTCATCCCTGATGCTAAGTTCCTTGTAGAGAGGCCTGCGGTTGGAGAAGGCCTTTTTACCGGAATAGTGTAGGCACGCGAGGTGCCCGCGTCCTGGCGAGTAACACCTCGGTTATAAGGGGCACGCTGGGGTTGTTAGAACAGGGGGACCAACTCTCATACAATCAAATTCTTCAAAAGATAAAATATCTTATGTTTTAGCTTTTCGTGTCAATCAACTGTAACATTATAGTTACAAAATTGGAATTGAACTTATCAATGTGTAAATTGAATCGTTGAGAGTTGGATACTAAATAAAAGTTCAGAAGGACAAAAAGAGGGGACACATAAAAATGTTAATACGAGTAAAATTTAAAACTAAAGGTGAAGGAATATATTTCGCACTGTAAAGAAAATTATTAACTCAAAGAAAAATTAGAGAATTAAATTAACCAAATTATCATAACTGGACTTAGTTTAGTACAATTCATGTTACTCAAGTTTTCTCGTCCTTGTGAAACTTAATGGTACCTGTGAACTTTTTAGCGGGTTCTGAGTAGAAGGAAATGTGGTGGATGTTGTCCGAAACGCTACGCAGTGGGAGCAACAGCTTAGCGATATAAGCGTCATTGCTAAAGCGGTAAGGCACCGGCTCTCCGTAAGAGTAACTGTAATAATAAAGATATGGATTTGCATATATAAAAATGTTTATTTTAAATTAAAGAGAATTTTATTGAATACAATAAAATCTTATAATAGTACTAGTGACTCACCCTCGCTCTGCTCGGGTTCGTCCCTAAAATTACGTTTTAACGTTAAGTACCTATAGATTTCTCAGAGATGAGATATTTTCCCGGAGTAAAAAGTATCCTATATGTTGATCCTGATAACCAGCTATAATCATACCAAATTTCATCAAAATCTGTCCAGTGGTATTCTCGTGATGCGGTTACAGACAGACAGACAGACAAAAATTCTAAAAACTATATTAAAAAATATTTAATGTACACATTGGACTCAGAATTTTATTTTAAGTATGTATAAATAGAATAGATTAATGGCAATCAATCAATTATCGCAGCACGTCGAGTGGTTTTCGTAGAATTACTTGGAATAACTACGGACATTCTTAGCTTATCTTAAAATGGAGCCCGTGTCATAACCTTCAAATAAATATTTTCTTACACAAAACATATAATCTTAAAGCGGATAAAAAAGCACATAAAATTTTGTTCGTGTTGTAAGCGGTAAAGTTGGCATTTACACTCGCTATAATTAAACCATCGTCCGGCACAAGAAGCACGTCACACGCGTGGATACTTTTGGCTGTGAAACAAACACCCACACTGGAAATATCTAAAGTTTCCAAAGAACAAAATCCTTTTATAAGTTGAACGGATATGAGGTGTTTTGTTTACAATACAGTGGTGCATTGCCAAAATCATGTTCTACGCTTGCATCGTCAATGTCAGTGTCGATGTCTGATCGACTCATCAATGGGTGGGCTATTTCTAGATCATCACACCAATTGTTGCCAAAAAAGATGACCTGTAATTACATCAGGTGTTTCGATTTCGTTTAAATCTATTATTATTATGTGTCACTGGTCGTTAGTGAACATTCTGTATTATCAAACTACTGGTCTGTGTTGGCTTTGCCTAGTTATTTAATATATATTTTCAACCGACTTCAAAAAGGAGGAGGTTCTCAATTCAACTGTATGTTTTTTTTTTATGTTTGTTACCTCAGAACTCCGTCATTTATTAACCGATTTGGACAATTTTTGTTTTGTTTGAAAGGGTATACTTCCAGATTGGTCCCATTTAAATTTCAAAAAAAAATACCACCCCTAAGGGTGGAAAAACAACTAATGATGAATTTAACCTACTTCTAATTGTCATATTGACTTGAAACTTTGCAAGTATTTCTATTTCCGTTGATAGTACAGTGGTTCGGTGTTGTTGACCTGATCTGATGGCAAGGCCAGAAGGTGGATAGGTGGAACTCTTCAATGGCTAATAGTAGATACTTTGAGTTTGGGCTTATTTTGTTTGATTTGACAAGCCTAACACGTTAGAATCCTTACTTTGCTACTACTGTCTACACTAAAAAGGTAAAAATAAAAACTTTTTAACAAAAAAATAAAAACCGACTTCAAAAAAAAAGCACTAAAAAGTGAAAAATAACTGATTGGTAGTTTTCATTTACTATACATACCTAATCAAATATTTTCGAAGTCGGTGTGCTTTGGCTAAGTAATTAAAGCCTACCTATTAAATTAAACACATACCTAATCAAATATTTTCGAAATCGGTGCCAGCCCATACAAAGCAAATGAAAACTACCAATCAGTTATTTTTTACTTTTTAGTGCTTTTTTTTTGAAGTCGGTTTTTATTTTTTTGTTAAAAAGTTTTTATTTAATTTGATATGGATGTGTCAAACGGAATGTGTGAATGAAGAAGAGGTCGCCTATAGCCTCTTTGTGGGTGCAAAAAGAATACAATTTTCCAAAATGTTGAAGTAATTTTATTCTTTCAAAATAATAATATCTGGCATATAAACTTTGTTTTTGAAAAGATATACATGATTGTGCCCATGATATAATGAACCTTCATAAGGTTTGTGAGAGAGTTTACTATTCCTACACTGTCTGATCGATTTGCGCGAAATTCTGAAAATCCTATATTTATGTCACAGCACAAGTTTTCTATAAATCCGTTGTATACCTGCATATATAAGAAAATAAATTTGATCTTACGAGTAAATGGTGTCGAGTGGCGCTAAGGTCTTCGCGCGAGGCACCACGGAGCGTGCGCGCTGCAACAGGGACGCTGTGTCGGCGCGGATGCGATGAGTCTCGTCTTCGAAAGCCTGTAAATATATATAACACACATATGTAATACAGTTTTAAATTTACGAGAATATTTCACAATTTTAATAAACTACTTTTGAATAATTTTACGGTTTTATTTTTGATTCCTGACTTTTCGAAAGCTTTACAACAAACATGGTCACGGGTGCATGCATAGCTTTATTGCGAACATACTCGAATTTTAGACATTATTACAGCAAAAGTATGCACTAAACGAATAATTATTATATAAATTTTCTGACTGAAGCTACACTAGCTGACTGAAGCTGTACAATGCACAGGCTTATTTCAGGCTTGTAATTGAAAACCGGTGGACTTATGGGGTTAATATTTTGTCTTGTTTGGCCTTTCCTATAATGACATAATGCACATAATTTGACCCCTAATAGTCATTCTCATTACTATCTTAAAGGATAGCACAGATTATGGAAGTAAACAAAAAAACCGTGGCAAACAGTTTTAACCAGATGTGAATCTAACGTAGGTCCGAGGCAGGCCCCTAGATATTAATATGTTCGAAACTAAACGTAAATACTAACTAGTAAGTATTTCAAACAGGTCAAGAACGTCTAAAATTATTTTGGTTTTGTAGTGTAGACGAGTATTGTGCAGCTGTGAACTTGCGTTGATTCTCAATCTGCCATATACATTGATATTTGATATTTTAATTTTCAAATCAGTTAGGTATTATTCAAAAAAGAAATAATATCTTTTAAGTAAGTTTCAAGTGATTTTTTGAGTAAATATTATTCACTAAAACTATTAAACAAAGAATCTTCTAAAATTTTATTATTTTGCTCGACGGAAAGCAAGACGTTTGTCAAGCATTCAGTACCTGTACCTACACAGCGTACACGAGTATTCTAAAGCGCCGTTAAATTTGTTAAACGATAACAAACATCTGTTTATTAAAAGTTTATTGATTACATTGAAGATACAATGGAAATATTTTCTGATCAAACAAGTTTCAGTTGCTACTTTATTGCATTTTTTATCAATCCCAATTTAATTTCAGCATAATGTTGTATAAAGCTTAGTTAAAAAATATTTATACAAATAAAAAACCGAGAGCGTAAAATCAAACAAAAAATATGCGAACAAGTTGATAAAAGAAATTAGTATTATGCAGTCGGAACTCGGAGACATAATATTGACATAGGCTTAGGTATCTGGTACATACATGTTTTACAGTAGTTAGTAGTTACGGATTCTTGCTATGTGTTACGAAGGAACCTAATGTCGGACATACCTACATACACACAGGTCATACACACAACCTGTTGAAAAACTCCAATAAGAAACTATAAAAACCAATAAATATTTATTGGTTTCTATGTGGCTTTTGTCGCTTTTGATGGGATCCTATTGGAGTTTTTAAATAGGGCAAGTCTAACACATATATCATAACCTACCTTTTGACTTCGCCGCTGCCGGGTAAAACTTGAAACTTCTTTAAAAGAACGCTAAATAAGGCAACGATTATTATTATGCATGTACTAGCGACATACCCTCACTTCGCCCGGATGCGTCCTTAGCTAGGTTTTAATTTTTTTGAGCGGAATCCTAAATCTTTTTCTAATATAAAAATAGCCTAAGTTACTTCTTCTAATATCAGCTATCTGCCGTCAAAATTACCGAATTGATTAGCCGGAACAAACAGACAGATAAAAAATTAAAAAAATCATGTTTTTTTTATATTTACCATAACTAATTTTATATATATTTACTAAAAAGCAGTTATTTTGACATAACAAACAGACACTTCAATTTTATTTGTCTATATAGATATAGATATTATACAATTTAGCTGTGAACATATATATTTTTCACTATACCTTGGTAGATTCGGATCTGAAGTAGTCATCGAAAGCAGACACTGCGGTAGCGGGACGACGCTTGTATTGAATTCGGTCGAGCTCCCTCAAAATGACGGACGGACGGACGCGCACGCGCACGATGTGGTGCGGCGGCTCGGGGTACGTGACGAGTCGCGTGACAGTGCGAGTTGTGGGACGGTATATCAGCTCCGACTGGAAATTGTTATATTATAGCAGTGTAAAATATAGTATACTTAAGTATATACTTAGATATCAGTACGAATTGAGAGCATTAGTACGGTAGGTCGGCAGATGGCTATAACCTGTGATGTTCCTTAAATCTTTATAAGCATTCGACATAAGCTCCTTAAATGTAAATTATGCCTTTCTATCTCTAGTACGGAAAAGTAGAGATAGATAGGTTGTTTTGAACCTCCTTGTCTATCTGTGCTCACAATTCGCGCCAATTTATGTACATCATTTTTAAATTTTAAGCGATATAATACATAGCTTTTTCAAATTAGATATTCTAGCGATTCTATGTTATAATTGTAAGCTCTATATTATAACTAAGCTTACTACTTGTACTAAACTCAATGTCTAATGTAGTGGGAGGTTTTTATGAAGCCACTTATTATTTTTATAAAGGAAAATTCAAAATATGAAACCAACTTTATATGTAAATTATATAAATACATCATCGCTTCTTGTTACAGGGGTTGCGATCCCCATGGACTGAATCGTAACGTTTTTAGATAACTTTCAATCTTTCAGGTAGAAAGATGAAAAGATTTAGAAATGATGATGTACAGACGAAATGAGCGATATATTTTATTTAGAGCCAATATTTGGTATAGTTTATTCAAGCATATTATTATGTGGTAGCTAAATGTTTCTTTATTAATAGACTATTGGAAGTTATACAGTTAGTATACATATAGCTAAAAAATATTAATTTTTAATACAAAGTTTATTATTTATCGAAAATGCAATAGTATGAAAATCATGCAATATTGTAGGTACTTACTTTTCATAACTGTGTTTGAAATAAGCAGAAAATGTTAAAAAAGTAACACACAGCAGTATAAAAGCCATGTAGTGAAGTGATATAAATATAGAAATTTATTCCAATTTACTTTTTTACCTGTTTAAGATAGGTGAAAACTTAATTATACTTAAATTTCATAACCTATTTTTATTTTTTTTAAGTATAATAAAACCTAAGTATACTCTTTTAGATAATAATTAGGCTATCCATATTAATATTATAATAATTGTTAAAGTGTGTATGTTTGTTTGTTTGTCCTTCTTTCACGTCGAAACAAAGTGACGGATTGGCGTGATTTGTATGGAGATAGTTGGAGGCCTGGAAAGTGACAAAGGCTACTTTTTACCGCGGGAGGTTATCGCAATGCCACGGGAAAGCATGTTAATATTACAACCCAAAAAATATTTATGATAAGAATTATTTGAAACTTAGTATTATAGCTCTTCAATATAATGAAGTAAATACGTATTTTAGCATTTTTCGAAATTCATCCCATAAGAGGGTAAAATAGGGGATGACATTTTGTATAAAATCTAACTTTTTAGAGTTTTTTTTATAGTTTTAGCGCGAGCAAAGCTGCGGTATAGTAATCTATACATATAATAAAATTCTGAGTCGAATCTGTGCATTAAAATTTTTATTTCATAGTCATTATTATCGATACAGAGAAATATAATTAAATTAATAGAATTTTTAGAATGTTTGTTTGTCTACGTCACGAGAAAACCACTGGCCAGATTTTGATGAAATTTGGTATAATGATAGCTGTAAGCTGGTTATCCGGGTCAACATAGATAGATACTTTTTACTGCAGGAAAATATCTCATCTCTGAGAAATCTATATTAAACGTTAAAATATATGTAAATACTTGTATTACATTCCAAATTTCTTATTTTTGTAAATGCCTCTGATCATAAACAGTACCTACACCCGGGATATGAATAGCAAAAGATAAATAATCATCATTCTGTTTATTTGTTGTTACAAAAGTTTATGAGAAATACTATATCAATAGACTTATGACTCATAGCTTTTGCGATTCTCCTCAGGATAAAATTAGATCAAAACGCAACACGTCCTCGAATTGTACCTATCGAATAAATACAGCGTGACAACATTATTATTTTGATTGGGATTTTTGTTTTTATAATTTCAAACATTTTAGTTTTAGCATAGTATCTGTTTTCAAGAGCATTGGCCTATTTTAAAATAAATCATAAATCATTAATATTTGCAATAATTTATTTATCTACCACTGTTTTTCTCTTTAAAATTCTGTATAGATTCATGTATTCTAAAGTTATAAAGGAAATAAGCGAATTGAAAAAGGAGAGATAATAAAAATATATTCATTGATTGTAACGTTATGAGTATCAAATAAAAGCTCGTGCATAACTAAAATTAACATATTATCACGGTCCTCCTACTATTTGCGACTATTACGAGCCTTTCCCACACTCATTTCCCTTTTATTGAATCCTTATGAAGCTTGACGAGTTCCCCCGTTGTGGTTTACCGAAACGGTTTTCGTATTCGTACCGAAAAACTTTAGACTAAAAGCGATTTTGGTAAACTACGTCGTGTGAACTACAAATTGAATCGTAATTTTTCTGTGTATATACCTACCTAATACTGTAACGTCACACCAAGAGCGTGAAATGGCGAGCGAGCGTTTAAAATATTCGTATCGGTATGAATAAGATATACAAAATTTTAGATTTTTGGAGCCGGATATTTTTTTACAATAATACAACGATGTTTTTGTAAGCTATTGTATAAAAAAAACACGCATATTCCCTATTCACGAATCATAAACTGTATATTTATAACAGTACGCCGTACGGTTTACCAAATCGGCGAACCGAATTAAAAACGTATTAATATGAACATTTGTGTTTTTCTCCCGATACGACACTCTATACGAAAATCCTTTTGGTAAAACCCTGAAGGTGTGCAGCCGTTCTTATGCTAGGTACCAAGTAAGGACCTACCGTTTGACATAAAATGCACAAAAGTGCTTTCAACTTAAAAACTGTATCTTTCCTCTCTGATCTGACGCTATCGAGTTTTTATTTTTAATTAAACACAATATCAATCAGAATACAATAGCTACGCTTTCCCATCACATTCTATGTATATTGCACTCAAAGAGTGCAGCTGCGGCCTGCGAAGTGCGAACATAATATAGTCCAAGGATTATTATGTGCAATGTGCAATACGCTCTCTAATACAATAAATAAGGTACTTTACAAGTAAATTAATGTAAAATCTAATACGTATAAATAAATTTCGAAAACACGGACGGAAATACAAATATTTAAATAATATGGTACCTACTTGGAAGAAACATAAAGCGTTCAGATATTTTTGAGAAAAACATTAGTTCCCACATCATGTTTCTATATATAGTAGCTTGTTTACATCAAACATACCGTTTCCACTTTAAGCGATTCAATCTATAGGAATAAAATTCGAACTGAACACCGAATATTTTTTGGAAAATATTATTGAAGTATTTAGTTATTATTATCGATACACAGGCCGAATATATAAATTTTATTAACTAGGGACAAACACGAGCGCAGTAAGGACGATTTGCTATTATAAATAAGTAAGTACTCAAATTTATAAGAATTTAATAAAAAATGTTTACTATTTAGCTTTCGTAAAGCGCAGATGTTTTCACTTGGCATTTGGTACTTTGCCAAAACCTGTTCCCTTGATCAATTCTCGGCTTCATTGTTTTTCCTCAGGAATATGACATCCGGCGCATTATTTAGTTTAGAGTAATGTTTGGCAAACCTCGTTTATGTCCTTCGACGTCACGCAATAAAATAAATCAATGTCATTGTTCCAGATTTTTATTTTCCCTTGAAAAGCTGGCCGAATTAACCTTCAAACTGTGTTTTGATTTAAATTATTTACTAATAGTTAATTATAGTCCCTGTCTAAAAGTTTGTATGTCTGTGAGTGTTAGCTCTTTCTTCACGCTGAAACTGGACGAATTAGGATGTAATTTAATACACATGCCCTGTAATACATGGGCTACTTTTAGTAAAAAAAGTTCTTTAGTGTAATAATATACCTTATGTAATATATTACTTATGTACAAAAGGCACCTTAGACACACCAGAGCGAAGTGTCGAAGGGCCACAAAGTACGTAAACGAAATAGGCAATTTATTAAAACAGGTCTAGTTTTGTATCCACAATCATTTAAATCTGTAATAACGGATCTGTTTTGCTTACTTACCCAACTATGTACTTTATGTACTTATAAATAATTACTTAAAACTTGACTCTCTATTCTCATGGAATCCAACGTCCTATCAAATTACAAGTCTGTGAACATTAGTGCCGAAACATTCGTTATATGCCAAGAGTCTAATCATATAGTTTTTGTAGGTATATAGCATGAAAAAGTATACTAAATTATATGTTGCTATACTAATTTTAAATAATCTGTATTGAGAATATTGGGATAAATTAGCACATTATCACATAGTTATATTTATATGCTATCCTTTACGATCATCAGGTTCCTTTATTATTCTTTAGAACATTAAGTTTATATTACAAATTACCCGGCAATTAAGGAGGTAGATATATTTAGAACTTTCGTTATTGAATTTGGCGTAACGCCATAACACCGGCGCGTGAGTGTTTCTTGTTACTCGACTGCTATTTCGATATCCAGAACCTATTCGTTTTCATTGTCTCGTTGGACACTTGAAAAGTCTAGATTCTTAGCAGAGCAGAGAATTCATTAAATTCCATTGGGAAAACAGTAAGCAGTTATGCTAATTATATATGCTATGCCTGTTATGATAAAATTTCTAAATACTTCCTTAGATTTTCGCGAATATTTGACATTTTAACGGAGAGTCTCTCCCATGACTATGATTGCTGTAAAGCATTCGAAACGTCGGAAACCAATAATCAAAATAAATCCGCGAAAAAATCCGAAAAGATAATTTTTATTCCAGATTATAAAGGTTCAAATTCAATGTTTATGTAACTAGGGGATGGAATAATTACATTCATTTAAAGAAATCATTAAAATTGGCAAAGATATCATGTGACATAAGTACACAGTACACACAAGAAAGTACACGCAAGTTAACTTTTTTAAAGTCCAAAAATGAATCGGTAATGGTATGATATAAACAGTAGTATACCTAATGAAACAAAAACATTTCATTTGTATTTATGTTGTGTCGTTTTTTATATATAGCTATACAATAGTTATCTACCAGCTGACCCGACAGACCAAAAATTTTCCTGTCCAAAATTTCAACAATTTTATTTATGATCTTTTCCCAATTTTTCCGCCAGCATTTCCAATATTTTTTTTCTCTTAATCGAACTATTAGGAACCTTCTAAAACAGCTAATAGCCAAATCAGTCCCGCCTCTCTCAAAAGATGAACATAATATCAACGAACAGCATTTCATTTTTTATACAAAGTCAGTCGGTCAGTCAGTTTTATACGAAATAAATATTATATATATTTACTCTATGCCTTTCTAAACGATTCATCTGAAAGTGATGAAACTGTGGTGAGTTGTTCTGGGTACGCTCGCGAAGGTTCGTAGGTCAAAAGTAGATTTTCCTATATGTCCTCTATAAATTTCTAAACTATTCATCCGTAGGGCCCGAGCGAAGTGAGAGTATAATGGCTAAGGTAACACATAAACAATTATTAGATCACATAGTATTCTGTGTAAGTATAGACATCTGAATAAATCGTTGGCTAATTCCTAACCGGTAGTGAAAACTGCTGAAACTTGTGCCAAATAATTGGTAACTCATTTGACGATTGATTTGTTTTCGTTATTCGTCACAGTAGGTACCTATCTATGTACCTACTATATAAATGGCATGACGAATAAGAAAGTTATTCATAGACAATCAAAAGTTGTAAAAAAGGGTGCGTGTAAATTGTAGATAGGTACCTAACCTTAACGCGCGGTTGAAGTAAAACTTCTTTGGAAAATATTGCAATTATAACATAAATTAAAACAAATCAATAATAAAATAATAAATATTATTACAATTGTACATTTATAGAATATTATTTCAGGAAATAATATAATAATGAATATCATTTATCAGACAATAACAACGGTTACCATGGCAAGAAACAGTTATCAGCTAACTTCATCATGTCGCTTTTTGACCGTCGGTGTGCGCGCGCATCGAAAAAATTTTACTCTCATAAATTTTTCCGACCGTCGCAAAAAAGTATAAATTCAATAATACCATAATAAAGAAATCGCCTGATTTTAAGAGTTTATAAATATATAAAGATTTTGTTGAAAGAATCATTTTCTACGAAGTACATACCTACCTACATAGATTTCGAAAAATACTAGATTTCGAAAAATAAGCCTTTACAAAGTAGGTAATGTAACATGTTGGGAATACTACCGTACGCAAAATTTTCATATATTTTTTCATCAGTGGTAGGTAACGATTAGTTTTGGATAACATGCCTAAGCCCTCTTTGAAGAATAATATGTATTTCAATGAAAATCTGTTAATTTGAACATGTCTCCAAAAATATAAAATTTAAATAATTTTCATACGTTAATTACTAGTATAATATTATAAACCACAAACTAGTCAAGATTACGATTAATGAAGATTCTAACGATAAATCTTTTCAAACGTTTTAGGTAGGTGAGAATATACCCAATGTCGGTTTAGATTATTTTTAACACGCTCATTAGCTTCACTTGTACTATGTATCCACCCAACCATGCAATAAAATCTTGGAACTTAATTTTAGTCTATACCAAAACACCGCATCGATTTGTCATAAAAATTTTATTAGCTTAATAAATATATGTAGATGATAAAATACAATAGTAAATATAGTTTGAAACCATGAAGCAAATCTGGTGATGGATTCAGAAAGTGCCAAACTCCATAATACAAGTCAAAATCTTCGAGTTGGGTCAAGTTTGGTTCGTTATTTCGAGTTCCATACAATATAGTTCGTCAAGAGTGATTTTTAGTAGGTACTATCTAAGTATAAAACTAAAATTTAAAAAGAACTTCTAGCTAAGTATATTATCATAATTTATTACATCTACTCTACGTTTTATGAGTATCAAAGCTCGTCACAGTTAAAGTGCGTCTAATTGCATATGAAATGGAAACGTGGCACTTACAAGCGGTGCATCCATGATATTTACACTTGCTCGACAATGATGCAACTTTGCAAGCACTCACCTGAGACAACTTGGGTATGTACGTGACGTACGGGATATGGTAATACGGTAGTAGGGATGAGAGGTAGTACACTGACGTCAGCGGCTGGCGGCGGCGGCGTCATAATGAAAACGGAATTTTTCATCATAATATATACCTTTGGGCTCAATTTATCTCATTTTGCTTACTACTTAATGTAGGAGTGTAAGTGTTTGTTTGTTTATATCAATTGAAAATACTTATATTTTAATCAATTTTACAAAAAAGATGTAATTTCCTAGTTTATGAAATAGCAATTTGGACCTTCGAGCCGGACTTGAACCGGCCAGAATCAAATTAAATCGCGATTTCTATTTGATGTTTATTAAATAGTATAAAAATAGTAATATACTTTACTGAATTTTAACAAATAAAGTGTGTCTATTGTGTATAGGGTTGGTCATTTTGTAAATAATTTACCACTAAATGCATTCTTACTTTCAATTAATTATTATTTATGATAAAATATCTATTTGACATTAAATATCATTAAACAAGTGGTTATATTTGATTTAATTGACGAGTTCTTATATGTACCTATACCTATTAGTAAAACGAATTTTTTACTATTGAAAGTATCAAAAAAACTAATATATTGATTTTTATTATCTGTTGTCAATATTTAAAAAATCAAAAAAATAATAATTAAGAATCAAGAAAACTCAACATTGATCAATTTGATCAAACTGAAAGTAAATAACAATCAAATTGTTAGTAAATAAAAATATCGAGCCCATCATCGATATTCTGAGTTTTACGAGATAAATAGAAAGTAAAATTGTAAAAAATGCAAGCGTTTATTAAAAAAATCAGTCTAGATCACAATGTTTATTTAAATAAAAAATTTATTTAAAACATAGAAAGCTAAGATTCACGACCACTTGTGACTATACGTAAAGTAGTGCGATCATTGCGTTAGCGAATACTGATTAGATTAGGGGAGGCGGGGTTAGGGTGAGGGAGGAGGGTGAGGAAGTAGGGAGGTCGGGAGCCGGGGCGCTACACGCGGTATGAGTAGTGGCGGTAAGTGGTGCCGTAGGGCAGGCGGCCGCTCGTGGTGGACGAGTAGGAGTAGCCGCCGGGCCCGCCCAGGCTGCTGGCGCGCTCGCTGGAGTATGAGTAGCCGCCCGGGCCGCTGGTGGAGCGGCGCTCCACCGTGTTACTGTACGAGCTGCGTTGCGGCAAGCCGGCGCCCGCGCGCTCTGACGTGCTCGAGTAGGAGTACGAGTACTGCTCCTCCGCGCGGCGCGGCGCGGGCGAGCGGTCCACCACCACGTAGTGCCGCGGCGTCTGCAACAACCGCGCGCTTAGCACCGCATCCGCCCTCGACCCTCGCCACCGACCCGACCCGACCCGCCCTAGCGCAAGCGACACACACCTACACCTGAACCTAGACGACCTATCAGTAAGAAGCGTAGTTGCTGTAGAAGACGTGACGCCTCGCGGCGTGCTGAGGCCGGCCGTGCGCCTGCGCGAGCACCACGTCCATGTGGTCGCGCGGCGTGCCCAGCGGGTCCGCCTCGAAGGCGCGCTCGCGCTGCCCCACGGCGGACAGCACGCGCGCGCGTGTCTGCTCACGCGGGGACACGTAGGGCGCGAGCGGCGCCAGCTTGGACTCCGGCTTGGGCGGGATGTTTTGCCGGACGAAGGGGTCGAGCACGGAGGCGCGTACGCCGGGCCGCGAGCGTCGTCCGAAGGCTGTCACGGGGTCTGGCACCAGGCTCGGCCGCGCCACATACGGCACCAGCTCCCAGTCCCCCGGCCGCTGCAAGCGGAGAAGTCGCCGTTAGTCGGCCGCCTCCAGCCGCGGCTATATTTGGCGCGCCCACTAGCGCGCGTGCCGGTCGTCTCCCGAGCCGATCTGACCCACTTGCGGATCGCTATCGAACCCTACGCTAGGAAGCGAAACTCGGCGCGGCTGGACTTACTTAAAAAGCAATAATGATTACAAGCGACACCTAAACTGAAATCGACACACGAGATGAGGGATCGTCTACGTTGATGCCGTAGGTGCTACAGCTGCACTAGGACACTAGGAGGCACAATAGAACGAGGGACATGAGTGACGAGGTCGATTCGGTGCGAGGGGCGGGGGGCCGGCTCCCGGGGTAGTGGAGCGAGGGTGCGCTCGGTGTGTTAGAAGGCAGACTCACCGTGGTGCTGTAGGTGGAGGGCCTGTAGGGGCGGCGCGTTGTATAGAAATCGCTCTCGTAAACCATGGTTGCTGCTGTGATCGTTCGTGTAAAACTCGCGACGGTCGGTCCTCGACTGCCGGGCGCGCGTCTCCGCCGCGCCACGCCGACGATCTTATTTTTAGATCACTGTCATTGCAATTTTCACGTCATTCCTCTCAACTTATTCAAAATTATAAAACATTTCGACGCGTCACAAATAGGTTAAGGATGATCAAACTTTTTGTAGAATGTAATAGACCATGGAAGATCGAAATAGCCGGGAAGGTTCTGTTAAGCATTATGATTCACAAACATATTCCACAGTTCGCTCGGTAACGCGCGGTTTGAAAATAACTAAATGAAAGAGTTAGTGTTTATTCTACGTATAATCTTGAATTTAATGGCCTCAATAGTTAAGAAACAACGCGAAGTTTGTTTATAGAAAACAAACAGTCGGCCTTGTATATACAGCACTTTGCGGCTTATTTCAGAATTTGAAACTACAATAAAGTAAAACTAGCATGACAACCGAGTCTAAATTGCTCAGAATGTTATTTAAAATTGATTATTTTATTAATAAAATAGATTCCCTTATATTTATTATCTGTTGTTCCAGATGAACACGATGTTGAATTACGTCGATCCTGTGTCCTGTGATATAGCCATAATCTAGAGGACATAAGAATGTAAGTATTTACTATTTTGTTTGAAATAATCTTAGTCCCGCTGAGTTTCTTTCGCCAGTTCTTCTCAGGTCTGAGGCTTCTTCTTTCCGAACTGGTAGTAGACTTATGACGTTCAGTTAAAAATTGTATTAATATAATGCTGAATAAAATATTTTGAATTTGATATTTGTCATATATAATTAGTTGTTTTAATTAAGTAATAAGTAAAAATAAATATATACTTTACAAAATGCTCCATGTTACTTATTGCTTCGAAATATTGTATCACACTTTTTTAATTCTTACGAAGATACTAATTTTTATAAACAAAAAATTACCAATTCCAACATTGAAATCGAGAATTTTGTATCTATTTTATGGTTATTTCGAGTTCGAGTCCCGCTGGGGACATTCATTTGTGTGATGAGCGCGAATGTTTGTACTCCAGGTCATGGGTGTATAGATTTATAATATGTATGTATTTAAAGCTATATATGTGTAGTGTATTAACTATCTGGTATCCATAACACAAGTCCTAAGTAGTTAGTAGCTTACCATGGAATTAGATGGATTTGTGTGTTAAGTAATGTCCTAATAATATAGGCATTGGTCTAAAACAAAATTTATCTTTAAAAAAAAATTAAACGTGTAAAATATTTATTTTGTAATGATTTATCAAATGGTGTTAACTTGGAGAAGTATACATATGCCTCAGAATTCTGTATTCTGAGACATATGCTATAGAGCGCGCGTATCGCTCATTGTCCATTATGCGAAACGTAACTGCCTCGGTGGTTTAGTGGCTAGCATGTACGGCAGCACACTTGGAGGTCCTGGGTTCGAGTCCTGGGTCGGGCCAAGTTTAGTTATTGAGTCTTTCTGTATAGTAAGCCTCAGTAACAGTCCGGAGTTGGGAAGTTGGTGGTATTTCACCCCTGTGCCTCGGAGAGCACGAAAAGCCGTCGGTCCTGTGCCTTAACTCTCACTGGTCATGTCGAGTGGTCGTCCCACCAGAGTATGAGATTGACAGTAATAGAGAGTGCACTTGTGTCTGCGCGTACACTTGTGCACTATAATATCTCCTGCTCAGTTGGCTAGTCTCAATGAGATTGGCCGCCGAAGCCTGAATCGGCCAGGAGAACATCATGCGAAACGTAAGCAGATGTTCTATACACACCTATTGATACATATTTGTAGATGAAGCGGTTGAATAGTGATGTGCCTAGTAAAACTTTTAGAATTTAATTAAAAATGAAGTATATTAACATAACTATTTAACATAACCATTTATTCACGCACATATAGACTTTATTATCTAAAATCACAGCATTTTTAATTTATATCTTTCATTTGTTAATCTATGTAGTAATAGTGTTGCTTAACATTTTGATTTTTTTAAATAATAGTAAACTAAATTAAAATTATATATGGTTCTCTTTAACTTTTCGCGTTCCATAATTATATAATAATTACACTACGGGACTTAAACGCAAATTACGAGAATTAAAGGTGAATTCACGCGTTTAGATCCCGTAATTTAATTATTATATAATTATTACTCTTAATTAATTTTAATTTTTTTTTTATTTCACATGTGGCTTGAATATTTTTTTTATGTTTATAAATATAATAATGACCACACTAAAAGAGATGAGTAATTAATAGTTTTCTAAAAAATTGTAATAATTATAATAATAACAGCTAAAATGAAATAAATAATATTCCATGCAATTATAAAACATTAAAATTATGAAAATGTTTAAAATTAGGTATGTATAATGTAAGGTACTTTGGTACTAAACATTATTAAATTCTTATAAATTTGATTACTTACTTATTTATACTAGGAATTCGCCCTTGCTCCGCTCGTGTTCGTCCCTAGTTAGTAGTTACGTTTTAACGTTTGTAGGTATAAATTTCTGATGAGATATTTTCCCGCATTAAAAAGTATCCTACATGTTGACCTGGATAACCAGCTATCATCATACCCAATTTATCAAAATCTGTCCAGTGGTTTTCTGGTGATGTGTTTCCCAGACAGACATAAAAATTTTAAAAACTATAGATTCAGCCTGTGTATCGATAATAATGACTATTTCAACAAGATCTTCCAAAAAATATTTAATGTACAAATTGGGCTTAGTTACAATTTTATTACATAACTAGCATTGCCCGCGGCTCCGCCCGCGTTCAGGTGACCGAAAACCAAATTCTTAGGTTTTACATATTAGTATACTCTTACAATGCAGTTTTTGTATTTTTTCTCAGAAATGAGATATTTTTCCGCGGTAAAAAGTATCCTATATGTTGACCCGGATAACATACTTTCATCATACCAAATTTCATCAAAATCTGTCCAGTGGTTTTCTCGTGATGCAGTAACAGACAGACAGACAAAAATTCTAAAAACTATATATTCGGACTCTGTATCGATAATAACGTTTATTTTAATTAGATTTTCCAAAAAATATTTAATGTACAGATTCGACTTAGTTACAATTTTATTATATCTATAGATGTATTTACTTATACTGTGATTTAAATAAGTTTATGTCACTTTTCAGATTAAAAAGAACCTGTATCTTTCTTTCTTCCCATATTACATGAAAAATGGACGAATCCACCCACAATTTCACATTTTATTATATATATCAAAAGTCACTTTAGTGCTTTATCATGCTCATTATACTGATCTATTATATTTGTTACTAATTAACAAAAATATTATACTTATCTTATGAATGGCTGTGCGTTTTAAACATCAATTTTACAATAATATATGGAGTCTGCACGTTCTTTTGACATTTATGATTACTGTTCCGCTCCCTTGGGTAGTAGCATGATGATAATTAGCCTTCCTCAGTAAACACGCTATCTGGCTATGCTTATGCCAAAAGAATTTTTCTAATCGGATTAGTAGTTACCGAGATTAGAGCATTCAAACAAATAAACGAACAAACTCTGCCTCTTTATAATATTATAGTATAGATATAAATATATATTTCAAAATGCTAATATAAAATTAATGTCTTAGCATTCTTCTTATTTCTTATGAATAAGAATCATTTTAGAACAAGACGTTTGAATTATACCACAGCCATAACTTTAGAATAGTGATGTAAAAAAATAATATAATAGATTTTGATTTGATACATCAGACCGAGTCACTTATTATAAACAAAAATAGGATAAGTGCGAGTCTGACTAGCACACAAATGGTTCCGTAGCACGAGACATTAAAATAAGTCATAAGTTGCCAAATTTTGCGGCATAAAGGGCAGTACCTTTTTATTACCTTGACTGAAAAGTTTGATGTTTTCTCACCTCCAAGGGGTTGTAGACCTAACTATTTGATATTAATCTCTACTTAATAATTCCACGAGTTCCTAAGAAACAGGGTCTTGACTCTTGACAGACAGACAACAAATTGATCCTATAAGAGTTCCATTTTTCCATTTTAAGTACAGAACTGTCAAAAATGTAATAAAAACAACACTCACTCCATAGAAAGAAATCTAATAAAACTCATATAGTTTACCAAAATCAGAAACTATAATTTGGATTCATCAAACAATCATTTATACTTGTCATATAAAATATCAATGTAATTTAGAAAATAAAAGGCAAAACGTGTAATATTTCACAGTCCGTGACCGACCGCGGAGGGGTGTCGCCGCACGTCAGTAATACAAAACAACAATCAAAAGTTATTATTAAACTTAAACTATTTATTCCTTTCCTTTTACAAAATGACGTTTTATGAATTTACAATAATTTCTCAGCCGAGTGTACTTACTTAGTGGATCACACAAGCGCCGACACAGATTTGGACCCAGAAATAAACTGTATAACTCTGCAAATTAAACACCGGCGTTCCAACGCTTCATTGAACATTGCTTCCATACAATAAATCAATAACAATTCAGGTTTTTAAACAAAACAACGTGCGAATGTACCAGCGACGGTCCGGTGTCCGTACATCACGTCAGTCCGTAAATAAATATCAACTTTATGTACACGAGACACTGCGACGCTACTCCCCCTATATAGTTATAACATTTTTTTTTAATTTATAATTTATTTCGTATGTCCTATCTATGTAGATCGACTAACGACCAGCGAGAACATTTTATTGTTATCCTGGTTTGGCGATAATGCCAATATGGACGCAGCCGGACCCCGATCACCCCGGGATCCGCCGGGATCCCCCGGACCACTCCCGGACACTTCCGAAAGTGAGTCAGTCAAGTGAGTCGTCATAGAAAGTTCTCGAAACAATCGATGACGACTTGATCCATGATATTATAAAGGCAGTAAGGCGGCACACAAGCAAATATCCCCACACGTTATGTTATATTTTGTGCTGTATATTTTATTTCTGGGTTAAACATGAGCAATACGATATGAAATCAACTGCATTGAAAACTCTCTGGTACCGGCAAGAACCTTAAGACTAAGTACCGTCAGCATTATAAAAAAAAGTACACATTATTTAACATTATCGAGAGAAAAAGAACAAAAAAATATATACATATATAGTATATTATTTAAATGAATAAAAAAAAAACGCAATCCTAAATAGCGTTAGCGGTACATCGTCAGATATAAACATATCAAGGTTCCTGCCAAATAATAAGATGTTAACGGTTGATTCAGCACCATGGTTTGTACAATCAGAAAAAAAAATCAACACTTTCATTGGAACCAGTAAAATTTCAATACAGCAAGATATTGGTGACATATACCATTATATTAAACTAATTTCTAATCGTCATTACTTGGACTACACTAAAACAATCTGTGGAGAGTATATTGAACGGAGTCCATTTAACTATGTTATCCGTAGTCTAAGTAACGACAACAGTCAATATGTTTTTGTATTCCGTATCCAATCGCCTGTTATCATAAAGATCGAAGTTGCACTATATCTTCAGTAAAAAATATAGTCTTATCTATGGTCCTGTACAATTTACTAGTATGACAGAAAAGATTTAGATATCTCATATCATAGACAATTTCGTTGCTTTATTTAGGTAATTTGTCTGTGGTCATTGGGAATAGTGCTTACGACATTTGTCATCTGTTGGACGATATGTTAAAATATTGTCATCAACTTACTCACTAAATATGCTATCTAAATCACTTGTCCCTATACAAAATTTTAATAACATTACTCTTATAAATAAGATGTTTGTTTGGGCGAAAGGTAATTTAACTAGCATATCCAGTTAAATGACATTAAACTGTCAAAACGTTACATCTAACTCGGCGATGTTAGTGGAAAAATTTCTATGGTAAAAAAAACAATGGCGAATGGTTCGCCACGTGAACACGAAAATGTGTTCGCCACGGTTTAACCACAGTCTAGTAATCCATACAATCGTCTAATAAAACCCTCTAGGTCTCAGGTCTGCTTTAGGGTTTACTGTAACTTGCCACCAGATGGCACTATAACAGTATAAAAATTGATAGTTTGACAACCCTGGCATTTGTCAACATTTCAGTTAAAAGTTATGGTCAATCGACTACTGCATGGATTTTTATACTGAGGTATAGGTGTAATATTAGTGTCCGGAGTGGATATGTCATAAGTCTACACGTTAATTTTACAGGGTCGCAATAAGAAAAGTTTGGCAGTTGCTATTACATTATTTAATAACTCCATTTCCACCATTATCTATGGATAATAACATAACAAAATATCAAGATACGAAATTTTGATGAACAACTTGATTTAGCAAAACCTGCCCTGCACTGCATTACCCTGCAAAGTCAACATATCCACACCAGCCACGTACTGTGTGGAGAATGTATCAGGTATGATGTGTTATCACGACATTGTACACTGTGTGGGGGGTATCATGGGTGATATAGTATCACAATATTGTACACTGTGTGTGGGGGGTATCATGTATATATCAAAGGTAAAGTGTGAGGTGTGCACCGCGTCCGAGGGGGGTGGTGATAGGGGGTCGCTACTGCGATGGGTACTGCGCGGAGGGCATGGCCGACGCGTACATGAGCGGCTGCGGCGCGCCGCCCCACGAACCGCCCGCGCCACCACCCGGCATGCTCATACGGTAGCCGGCTGGAAAGAAAAAATCATACAATTATTATAATTTTTTACCGTCCCAATGCTGGGCACGGGCCTCCCTTTAAAACGTATATATGAGAATTAAATTCTAGTAAGATAACTTATTATCGAATAAAATCTAATAAAACAATTCAACAAAATATATAAAAAAAGTAAGTACTTTATAAAATAAAAATATTAAAAACATACTGAAAAGAACGCAATAACATCTAGTATCGCGTTTTCTAAATGTAAAATGAAAATACTTCATAATTATAATATTAATATTTTTGTCGGTGGTATGTAATTATTTCTCGCTTCCATACATAATAAGACTAATTGCTGGACGATTTGTTTTAACCCAACATACTACTTACTGTCAGTCCTTGACCTACTCGTGATATCAGATTTCATTTAGTGTACTGAAGTGAACGTTTGTAAGGAAAATTAAGCGGTAGTCAAAAAGTGTGCGTTGAAGTAAAACTTCTTTGGCAAATATTTGCAATTAAATTAAAACAAATCAATAATTATATAAGGCATATTAGTTATATTACAATAATATATTTATAGAATATCATATACGGAAAGAATATGATATTCTATAAATATATTATATATTCGTCAGACAATAACAACGGTTACCATGGCAACATGACAATGTATTCTATCTCATTCTTTCGCCGGCTTAATCCTATATATATTTATGTGTTTGTCTCTTTTAGTCTTGCATTTCTGTTTCATCGCGTTTCAAATTACAGCGATTCGAAATAAGTTTCACTTTAAAAAACAAAATAATTAAAATATAAAAAAAAACTGTCAAAAATAAAATTAATAGAAACTTGCACACAGGCTAAATATTTGTGAATTCTAAGAAACGCCGTAAATGACATTGCTAACGTTGTGATAAGAGCCTAGCGAGATAACGAGTGATAAAACTTGTGATAATAATAGACTCATTATTCAGTCAATTTGTTCATATTTATTTAGATAATGATGAGCAAGGAAACAGGACAGTTAGTAGGAATTGTTTGCTGTTGTCAACTGTTTTTCATTTTGGTCGTTGCGTACTTGGAATTTGGTATACAACATACACATTATAGCACAGACTTCAATAAACCCTAATTTTTTTAATATTTTAATAAAAAATTCTGATTTTAAGTACTATTTATTTTTTTAAACTTTTAAAATAAAACTCAAACAAAACTGCACGAAAAATTCGCTAATTTTTCAACTTTTTTATAATTCAATCGCCTTATTCTAAACTTCAAATAAACATTATTGAATAATAAGTCGCTTGCCTGAAATCGTGTATTTGATATTTAACGACGCTTTCAATAATAGCATTAAAACGAGAACGACTTGTAGAAATAAAATTCTAGAAACCAACTGATAATATAATCTGAAATCATGAAGTGTAAACAATCTGTATAATAATAAACATTATAAATGTGAAATTTTGTGAGAATGCATGGATGTTTGTTACTCTTTCACGCCAGAACGGTTGGACGGATCTGGATGAAATTTGCCACAGAGATAGATTTTAGTTTGGAATAACACATAGGCTACTTCTTATGCCGGAAAATATACGGTTCCCGTGGGATAATTTGTTTTTGTTTTTCTAGAGGCGAGCCCGAGCGAAGCGACGGTGTGCAGCTAGTCAATGCATAAAACCCAACGATATAAATGAATCAAATCAGTTCATTATTTCACCATATTTTTATGTTCACTTGTAAAATAAAAACTTTTAATTCAAAAGTACTTTAAAATACACGTGTCTCGATACAACAATATATATATAGCAAGTCATAACACTACAAAGAGCCCGCTCGTGTGTATACAACTTGCATTTAAAATAATGATTGTTGCTATGAAGGTTTAGTTACATTTTATTACCAACCGAAGCGATAACGTTGAGAATGAACTAGTCTTTTCTGTTTAACGATTGATATTCATCGTTTAGTGGCCGACAGTAGCGTGAAATTTATTGTTCATGCGACATTTGTTGCTAATCCCCATATGTTATAGTTTTTTATGTATATGTGTAACATATATTGCAAATATTACCATTAAAATTGATATTAATTTATGTGTATGTAAATTAAAGTATTATCACTAACATATTTAACTACTAACAAATTATTTTAGATAGGACGTAAAATCTTGATTAGATACAAAGACCCGCAGTATTTCTATTATTGTGAGTTTAAAATATAAGTTGCTTTTTAAACAACATACAATGCAACAAAACCAACTAACATTCTAAGTTTGCTACAAAAATTACCTGAAAACATACACGTATTACACGAGGTCCAGTAAAAATATTTTAATTAAATTCATAAGTGGGTAATAATCGCAGAAACATAACAATTAATTAATGAAATATTAACAACCATAAAATATTTAATGATTCGTGATTTAGATTCTTATATTCTTAGTAAGAATGTATGAATGGTACATTTATTTAGTACCATTGATACCCTATACAAACTTTCATCCCCATTTTCACCATCTTAAGGGATGATTTCAGGGATAAAAAGATCCTATGTCCTTCCCAGGGTCTCAAACTATCTCCTTACCAAATTTCATCTATATCGGTACAGTAGATCCAGAGATTACCCCCTACAACGTCACAAGCTCACAAACTTTATCTCTTTATAATATTAGTATAGACAAGTATCTGCCCGCGACCGCACTTAGTAAATACTTTTGTCTTTTTTTCCAACCTTCATTTGAACTCTTATCTCACTTCATACAAGCTAAATAGCAAAAGCAGCAAAATTATATAATACCGGAATAAATAATTCTGGGTTTTACCCATCATATGGTCTATTTATTTACCAAGTTACATCTAAATTCAATGATTCATGCATGATTGAGTAACAAACTTTCCACTAATAATGAAATTCCGATAATGTTACCAATGTGAAAGTAAATCTGTCTGTTTGTTTGTTCCATGTTCAAACATCAAGCTCAAACTGCTGAACAGATTTCGCTGAAATTTGACAAGATCATACTATACATCATGTAACACGCTCTCTTCAAACCCCGAGTCTCACGCCTCTAACATTCATGTGCGAATCATTTTCAACATGATTACCATTTATTTTAAATACTGTAAAACATCATAAAAAATCCTGCATGTCTGATGGAACTTAACCAGTTTTCCAAGCACATGTAATCGACCAACCTGCACCTGGTCAACGTGGTCGACTACCAGATCCGACATTGAAGGATGGTCACGCCCAGCAGTGGAATATTAGAAGGGATTGAATGAAGTAGATATTAGTATTTATAAGTTATTCTATCATAAATGTCTCACCTGCCGCTGCGGCCTGCGGGGAGCTGTACGTGGCTGTGTACTGTTGGTAGTAGCCCGGCGCCATGTACCCTTGCAGCGCGGGGTAGCCCTGGAAACAAAGGTTTAATCGTTAACTAACATTATCACTCCCCGTACGCTGTACCGCCAGCCTGCCTGCCCTAAGCCGTTTAAATGACAATAAATTGAAATACCGTTCTAATGAAATAGTATCTGATCGACCGAGGTACGCTCGGAGTTTTTTTACAAATTATTATTATTATTATTTTACAGAAAATATACCTGTATAGATAAAATTAAAAGGCCAGCCTTAACTAAATTTATAATTTCATGCAAATCGTAAGAGCCGTTTTCGAGATACACGAAATAAATTTATATACATATATATAAGAATTGTTCATTTAATACTTATTATAAGAAGATTGCACTTCATATAAATGTTTACATCCCTTTAGGGAGTAGAATTTCAATTATTTTGAGCAATATGTATGAAAATGAAATTAAAAAAATCATTAATTTAGAAGTTAAAAGATATAATATATGAAATCTATTAGAGTAAAGTATGAAAAAAAAACATTCATCTTCAATATTTTAAACATACAAATTACAAAACATATCCATTTTCAGCTTTCTTGTCACCGAAAAAAATTTTGGTTGTAAAGAAAAATTATGCAAAATTTCAAGTCATTGTAATTTAAATATGGCGTCGTTTTCATAATTCATTCCTCGTAATATACACTTAACATAACATTTTACTACACCACCTTCATCGATAAGACAAAATCGTGCTAAATTCTTAAAGTATTATTCAAACAATTCATCAAAGCCTATACCTACCTATACATTTGTCAGTCATATTAGATAGCCTACAATATTCCCCAATAAAATTACGTTACGTACAATACGTACAATATACATTGTCTAAAGGTTTATCGTCATATTAAAATTTCGTCGTCTACTTGGTTTCAAGGATTTTAATTAATCAACGATTCTTTTTTAGTTTTTAAATAGAAGGCATAAAATGGCGGTGTTATGGTTACAAGCAATTTTTTTACAATACAACTTTTTTTATTAGGTATACATGAATAACTTTGCATGTCAATTCGATATTACAACTTACAAGTCTATATATTTAGACAATGAAAAGTGAAACCCCACTCTTGATAATAGCCAATATATTAAGTTTGACTACACTTATCATATCAATACTAAATTAAAAAAAAAAACCATTCCTAACCTTTAACTTTTAGTGGTTGAATATTTTTTCAAACAAACGTGATATTAAATGGCAAACGGTAGCAAATAATTGAACATTGCGAATTGTCCGTGACCCTAAGATGTGCGTCAGCGCAGAGTGTGCACAATGGCAGCTGTTTACTAATAAACGGCACAATAATGTCCAAATTTCCGTTCTTCAGACGACGCGGTGGCAAGAATTTATCATGTTACTAGTGATGTGTATGCCCGAATCCCTACCACTAAAGACAGCAAATAGGGACCCCGATTCTTTTAGGATTTATATATCGAATTATCTTCTATCAGGAGACAGCAGTTTTAATAAAACTATCTTTTCGGATTTTTCGACGGACTGGGTCTCTGCCGTGACCATGATTACTGTAAAGTACTCGAAACGTCGTAAAACAAAAATCAATACGAGCGTTAACAAAGGCTGACTTTGTTGTTTTATATAACAATAATAGACCCGGATAACCAACTATCACCATACCAAATTTAATTAAAATCTGTCCAGTGATTTTCTCGTGATGCGTTCCCAGACAGACAGACAGATAAAATTTCTGAAAACTATAGATTCGGCTTCTGTATAGGTAATAATGACTATTTTAATAAGATTTTCCAAAAAATTTTTAATGTAGAGATTCGATTCAGTTAAAATTTTATTATATTTATATATATATCCATCCAAGTTATTGTATATTATTATTACCACGTATATTAAGTTGAACAGCACAATATAAAAATTTCGCAAGACATTGTAAACATATTTACTTACGTTTTATCACTCTACATTACGGTAATGAGAAGTTATACATACTCGTAAATGTAAAAGATACACTAAAGTGCAAATTGTCTGGGAAGTTCACAACTTTTTTGTTGAAAAGTTAAAATCTGGGCTTTATTAGAGTTCTTGGAACATAAACCACAGACCTACATATTTTTCACTTATTTCGTACAAAAATTTTCAATTCAAAGTCTATTACATTGCAATACATTGACTTACGTAAGTAACGCTGTCTAGGTACAAAATTGCATATAATAATGTGTGCATTTGGCAATTTTGTACCTAGACATCGTTATTTATCTCAGAATCTGCGAAAGTTACCACTTTGATATTTAGGGAAATGATACTTCGGAATGATACTTTTATGTTGAATTGCTAAATTTGAAAATACGATTGGTAAACATTTTCTCGATATTATGTTCTTTGAAAAATATATTATGTTTTGCATAAATATTGTTTTTTATATTAGAAACATCTCACTATTTTTGTAGAGTTTTTATTTTGTCAGGAAGCCTAGAAAAGTATATCTTCAGTTACCGAATTTTATTTTTCGATTGGTTGTTTAATTAATTAAACACTGTTTTGGCGCTTAAAGCCTCAAATACGCTAAGCATCTATCGCTCTATAAGTCTCACTCACGATAGAAAATTATCTTTTTGTCGAATCGTAGCGGTTTCATGGCGCACTCTACTACTTAGTTTAGTTATGTGAAAGTTTAGGATAGATTTTTGTGACTCAATCACGCCAAAACGGCTGAACGGATCTTGATGAAATTTGGCACAGAGATAGATTATATTTTAGAACAGCACATTTGCTACTTTTTATCCCGAAAAATGTACGGTTCCCGTGGGATAGATTTGTTTATGTCTTACTAGAGGCGAACCCGGGCAAAAGAGGGTTTGCCGCTAGTAATACATACAAGCGAGCAATTTTACTGTTTTCATGGCTATCTAATCTATCTAAAATAACTGGAAGCACATATAAGTAGAATAAATTAAAAAGTAAATAAAATGGCCTTATCATAATTAAATCGTTTTTATGAAATGGTAAATTATACGTTTCGTATATTGTCTAAACATGTATATAAGATCTATTTTTTTGTACTTCCGAAGTAAAATAATTACCTACACGGTCATAAAGTACATGAGGTAGCTCAATGCTAACACGCTCACTTGGGAAATCGAGTAAAAGGGTACAAATCCCGCAATCGCACCTGTGATATTTTCATGTGCGAATCATTTCCAACATGATTGCCATCGTGACGATCATTACGGTGAAGAAAAACATCGAGAGGACACCTGAGTCTATCTGAGAGAACCTAGCAAATTCTCCAAAGACTGGACTGTGGATCCTCCTTGTATCTGCATAGTAGTAGGCCTGATCCCCCTTGTAGTTAAGGGAGGCCCGTGCCTAACAGTGGGACGTTAAAAAAGGCTAAATATGACCTACACGTTCAGTATAAACTATAAAGTATAATAATTACTAGTTTTTGTTAAAATATGTATTACTCAAAATATATAAATACACGAGAATCTCAAGAAAATATTTACTTGTAACACTATGTTTAAAACTTACAATGTCGGGTTATGAGAAATAATTTAGACCACATAAGCCAAAATGTGCAACGCAATTAAAAAAAACTGCAATAATAATGACGTTACTAAATACAAACCGATTAAAATCGCATATGAAATGTAGTCAACATATTTTAGAAAATAAAAAAAAATAGTTATATTTTTTTATATTCGTTTGATGGTGAAACGGTACGCTTTGCATAACTTAATCCAAGTTTCTTTGTGATTCCAACAGAAACAGTGCAATGAACAGACCGACGTACGACCTTGTGTGACTGACCTAATTATCGAGATAATAAAATGTGCAGTGCTAAGTTTTCCATTTAAAAGTACTTCATTAACTAAGCAAAATCTGATGCGATTTTTGAAAATTTGTTTTAATAAAATACAACTATCCCGATTACTCTAGCTCCTATATGAAAACGCAAATTAAATTACAATATACTACATTCCTATTTTAAATATCGATCGATTGAAATAATTAAATGTGTGGATTTTTTTAACAAAATCAATGAAACAACCGTTCCTTTGTTTAGTTATATTAAGTAGCATTACGTCACTAAACTTCTGAAGTGCTTTAGAAGTGCATTCCTGAATCCTGATATTCCTTTAGAAATACTTAACATGAAAACGTCCGAGTACTGAGGAAATATTTAGTTCTGTTTTATGTTGTATTATCCATTCCCCCCAACGTGCGAACACCTGGTCGTGGGGGGTGGTCTCATTAGTTTCCAGCAATCTAGCCGGGCGCGAAGCCAAGAAACGCACTGGGAGGCGGCCCACTTCGGTGGGTGATGTGCCAGCGGGTTGCTCCTGGTACTTCTCTGATAGCAGAGTGGACCGTTGGATCAACCCCATGGCAGTTGTGGTCTGCTTTGGCAGACCTGCTGTCGTGACGTGGATGAGTGCGCAAGCGATCCTACAACGCCCCATTAATACGGGGGAGGTTTTGTTCTCCGTATAAAAAAATATTAATTACATAAGTCAAAAATTCAAAGCAATCAATGAAGAACTTTCGTGGATTTGCAGTTTTCCACAAACGTACATTTTTATTTATATGGATCAAATTTCTTTTTTATATTTATTTATAAGCAAAAAGCATTTTTTTTAAACGAATTGAAATAATATTTGCTATGTATAATAATGTATGTATGTAACAATATACATAGTACATATAACCCGACATACTACTACGTATGTATATAGCTATTCGTGGCAGAGTGGCGTGTGATTTTCCTTTAGGGATAAGCACATTACGTCATAACACGATGACACGACAATGGCCTTATCCAGACCGGGAACAACATTCGAGCTAGCAAATTGAACGACTCAATTACAAAGTAGTAGTTGGTCAGAACCATATTAACTCTTCACACGACAGCGATCTTTTCGCCCGATCAATTCTATCCACCAATCAACTATAATATGTATGTATTTAAAGTTATATATGTGTAGTGTATCAACTATTTGGTATCCATAACACAAGCCCCGTAGCTTACCATGGCACTAGATGGTGCTATAAATGTCCCAACATAGATAGATAGATGCTTTATTGTACACCACAAATAAATATACATAAAGAAGATATAAACAATAGATGATGCACACAGCAGGCGGTATATATATATTTATTTATTTACTTATCTAAATATCCATATGTAATAGTCTAATTATATATTTATAGTATAAACTAGCGACTTACTCTCGCTTCGCTGGGGTTCGTCCCTTATAGGTACGTTTTATTTTTTTTGAGCGGAACCCTAATACTTTTTCTAAAATAAAAGTTGCCTATGTTACTCCTTATAACTGATGTTCAGTTGTCTGCCAGTGAAAGTCCCGTCAAAATCCGTCCATCCGTTACAGATATTTTCGTTCCAGACAAACAGACGAAAATTTAAAAAATTGATTTTTTTTTATAAGTACCATATATATAACTTCATATGCATTTAGTAAAAAGCTGCTATTAACATAACATTACAAACAGACACTAAAATTCTATTATATATCTGTATAGATACACCTTTATTATATATAAGCTATTTGAAGAAAACATTGTAAAGTAAAATTATGAAAATTTAAACAAGTGTTACATATAAGGTGTTAATTTAAATAATTTATTTGATCGTGTGACAAGTTGCTTGATAAATGAGTCTCTTTATATTGCTAATAATGTAATAATGAAATTATTTTTTTAAAATTGTCTTTGTTTTCAAATTGTCAAATAATAATAAATTATATTTTCTTGCAGAAGCCACTGTATGACTTAATTCCAGTGTTTTCTTAAGTGTGTTAATTTCTTTCTACAATATAAAATTTCTTCTTTATAATATTCTATCAGATAGAGAAGTTTATCATAACTTCTTATTTTTGAAGATGGTTAAAAAAGGAGAAGGTTACCGACTTTAAGATAATAGATTTTTATCTATTAATGTTTTTCATAATTTTGCATAAATAAAAGATAAAATTCGATAAAGTTATAAAAGTATGGATGTATAGTAAATTAATATATGTCTTCCTGACTAGATTGCGTTGAAAGAATCTAAAAAATTTCCAATTATAAAGCTACATGTGAGTATGTGGTATTTCATAACAACTGTATCTAAACATTATAAATGTGGAATCATATCTTGGACCTCCGCAGGGCTTCAAACATGAAATGCCACTATAAAATACTAGTGGCCTACTCTAGCTCCACTCGGTTTTTTTTATACTCTAGAGTTTAGACACGTCAAACAATGAATTAAAAAAAATGTTTTTTAATAATTTTTGTTGTTTCATGTTTCAAGTATATATGTTGAATACAGTATACATGTCAAGTTTTAAGTAAGTCAAGCAAAAAAAAAAGACTCCATACAAACTTTGCCATCCATTTTAAACCCCCTATAGGTGAAATTAAAAAAAAAAACCTTTATAAGGCACCCCTTATTTAGTCACAATTTAGACAAACCTCTAGGCGAGAAAAAGTCGGGAAGTCAGGTAATTTCATACATAGGCAGAATCTATAAGGATAATTAATATGAATAAATACTTTATATCTCATATAAGGAAACTTACATCAATAGAAATGTATAATTGTAACTTGCATGTATAATTTCACGCATTAAGGAAAAACAGCGTGACATGGTTTTGTGACGTTTAAACTTTACAGGTTTATATGAAAAGCAATAGCCATAAATATAGTGCAATAAAGTTAGATATAATTTCCATAGCTAGTTTTTATAAAAAATAACCAATGTTCTTTTATTATCTGATTTAAATAAAATGTAATTTCTTATAGATTTTTAAATTACAGTAATAATATCTATTTAAGTAATAAAAAAGCTACACTGAATAACTGACTGACAGACAACACTCTAAGCTACTGCTAATTTTATCTATACATATAATAAAAGTGTAACCAAGCCGAATCTGTACAGTAAATATTTTTTGGAAAATCTTATTGAAATAGACATTATTATCGATACAGAGTCCGAATCTATAGTTTTTAGAATTTTTGCCTCGCTGTCTGTCTGTTACCACTGGATAGATTTTGAAGAAATTTGGTATGATGATAGCTGGTTATCCGGGTCAACATATAGGATACTTTTTACCGCGGGAAAATATCTCATTTCTGAGAAAAATACAAAAACTGCATTGTGAGAGTATGTATACTAATATGTAAAACCTAAGAATTTGGTTTTTGGGCAACTGAACGCGGGCAGAGACGCGGGCAATGCTAGTTTATAATATGTATGTATTTAAAGTTACATACGTGTAGTGTACCAACTACCTGGTATCCATAACACAGGCCTCGTAGTCGTCGTTAAATACTACTTGATACTACTAATATTATTAAATTTTTTGACTATCAATAAACAGTTCATTACAAAATATGTCTATATAATTTGAAATCTTAGCTTTGAGATGTGTCAATTTAAAAAATATGACTAAGACGTTTAAAAAATTTAAAATTAACTAAGATATAAATTACAAAAGTATTAAAACTATTATGTTAATTCAAAAATTTCATTATCTATTTCTATTGTCCTATAGCTTTATCAGTTTCTAGAAAAACCTACCCAATGAAATAAAACAACTGAATACACATAAGGACTTTCACTTTTGAGCATTGTTTGAAATATTATCTTTTAATTAATTATCTACATAAAATTGCAGCACTGTCAAAATTTAAGATTACAGTATATTTTACTAGCAGAACCCGCGGCTTCGCTTGCGCTAAAACTACAAAAAAAAACTCTAAAATGGTAGGTCATACAAACTTTCATCCCCTATTTTACCCCCTTATGGGAAGAATTTCGGAAAATGCTAAAACACGTATTTGATTAATTGTATTGAATAGCATTTATACCAAGTTTCAAGTAATTCTGATCATAAATATTTTTTGGATTGTATTATAACGAGATTTCCTGTGGGAAAGAGATAATTTCCCGCGGTAAAAAGCCTATGTCACTCTCCAGCTCTCCAACTATCTCCACACAAAAAATCACACCAATCCTCAAAGCTGTTTTGACGTGACAGAAAGACAAACAAACACACATTCACATTTATAATATTAGTATGGATTTAAAATAATACTATTTTTCATATGGTATTGAATGAAAGCTTGTGCATTTTTAGTTTGTGTTTATTTATATTTACTTAAAAATTTTGGTGGCTAATAATTCTTATTTTAAGCCATGTAAGCTTGATCTCCAATTTCTACATTATATATTTTTTTAATGGTTTTTGATTAAATAACCAAACAATTCCAATAGACAAAGTCCTGGTCTAAATTAAATAGATAATTATAATAAAATAGATAAGAATGCTAATTTTGTGTTGTTAGTGAATTTTTCCAAAACAGAGGAGATTGCATTATTGTATTGTTTCGATAACATAACATTGTCTGTATCATGTTCTATCTTATAGGAAAATAGTCATAATTAGTTAATCTAGTATGTAGTTGTTCTAATGGCATTGATATGGGATATAAATGTAAATTTATGTTAAAAAAATTGATAATACTTCTTAATACTACTAGTACTATTTGCACGAACTTTGACAATTAAAAGTTATAAAACAATTTGATGAATATTGTATGTTAATTTTTATATCAAGAAGACTAAAATCATATTTTAATAAAAAAATAAATAATTATCAATAAATTTACTAATCAATGTTTTAAATTGTCCAGACTGAATGATAAGGCTAACTATTTGTATTGCATAAAATCAAATAATTCATTTTATGCCTTTAAGTAAAATTTTTTTTTAATAATTACAACCAAAGAGTAATTATTGATTTTAAGAAACAAATTGAAAATCTGGATATTCACTTAACCTAAGTTGTTACTCGAAAATGAAATCTTTTTATAATGTAGCTTAACATTAAAAAAGAAAATTATACTCACAAACCTGAAATGTTATTTCTGAGTTCTTTATCAAAAATGTTTATGAATAGCCACATTTTCCATTTGTTTCCGTGTTTTGATATTTACCTGAGCATACCAATAGCCCATTCCTTGTTGGTATGCATAAGGATACTGCGTTTGTGCTCCCATGGGTGCCGGTGCAGCTGGAGGGTTGCTTGTACTCTGTAAATCACAAATCAAAATATATTCATGGAATAATATTGTGTAAATTTTATCAATTTTAGTTTGCTATCAATAATTACCTGGTTTTCTGTCCCCCCATTCTCTTTACCCCAGAAACATTTCACTGTATGCCCACTAATTTCCGTATTATGTGTTGCTTCTATAGCATGTGCTGCCGCTTCCTTAGTTGTGAACCTAATAAAAGCATATCCCTTGTCCCTGAACACTCTTATGTCTTGTATCTGACCAAATTGTGAAAATGTACTCTGCATTAAGTCCTCAGTAATTACATTACTAGTAAAACCTCCACAATATACAGTTGTGTTTGTCGGTGAGCTTTGATTGTACACCTCGTCAAATGTTGGTTGTTTAGCTCGTTTGCTACTCGGTGCTCCTTCATTAGGACCTTTAGTTGGTGGTTTACGTGTAGACCAATTAGTACGTATAGATCGTGAACCCAGCCATTGGCCGTTCATAGCCTGGATAGCCGCTTCAGCATCGGCTTTCTTTACAAACGAAACGAAGGCATATCCCTTAGATTTGAGCGTTTGTGGGTCACGTACTATTCGACAGTTCGAAATTTCGCCAAACGGTGCAAACGCTTCGCGTAATATGTGAGTCTCGATTTCTGGCGATAAATCTCCGACGAATATGTGATGATGGTTGCTCGTGTCCGTCTTGGGCTGATTACCAGGACTCGTAGCCCAGTTAACCTTCATTTCCTTTTCAAGAAATACTCGCTTGTTCATGGCGGCCAGGGCCGTAGCCGCCGCCGAGTGATTTGTAAACTCAAGGAAGGCATATGGATCATTGCCTGGCTCACGAATTATTTTGCAGCCTTTAACTTCTCCTATCTGTCCGAACAACGCGCATAGGAAATCTTCTGTCACACTCGCGTCTAAATTACCGACGTAGAGAGTTTTCGGGTGGCTTTCGTCGCCCATATTAGCTTATATCGTAATCTAGCGGTTACTCTATTACGACTATGAACACTAATTTCGAAAATACACACTAATCAACGTGTTATTTCATCACATTAAACATTGGATGACGGATAAAAGAAAGAAAAATGTCGCAAACAGCGCCTAGAACTTCTCGAAAGACGTTGCTGTTGACTCGTGAAACGTTCACTTTTCGGAAACAAACGCATCTATAGACGAATTTCCGGTAGAATAATTTTGAAAATTTGGAGGGAAAAATATTCCAACAATGAATAAATTATATAATTTGATAACAATGTTAAATAATATATATTTAGTAAAGATACCTAAAAACATTGCGCTTAAAGTTATCAGTAACATAAATATAAATAAATTCTTTTTTATAATTTTACACCATAGTCAATATAAATGAGCACATATAGACAAAATAGTTATCTTTTCCGGAAATGAGTGTCTTTTTGAAAGTTTGTGAATCATCAAAAACCATTTTTCGTTTACAAATTCTTTTAACAAATACAAATCTTTGATTGGTCAAATTATTGTTATAAAGTATATTCACAAATCACATTATGTTTAGTGTTTGATTTTTGCTAATTATGTTGTTTGAATGATGTTGTTGGTATTTTTGGCTTGTTTAACGAGTTAAATTATTGTGAATTTAAAATAATAATAATAATAACTTTGTAATAATTGTACACAATATACGAAATAGACTATGGAAAAGATGTAACTAATAATTAATATAATAAAAAAATTGCTCAAAATTAAGTCATATATTTTGTAAAATTAATATCGATTAAATGGTTATTACTAAACCTCATATTTTTAATATTTAATATTATTATTTATGTGTATGTATACAAATATAAAGGGCAAACATTGTAAGTACATATTTATACAATATCTATACCTACTTCTTTTATCTGTACATTGAAAAAACGAGACATGTCAATGACAGAGCTAGTTACTAAATAGTTCTTTAATCTGTGGACAGAGCTTAAATTGACAGATTACTGATTGACGACAGCAAATAATGTTAAGTTGTCGTCCGAGTTAAATAGTTTATAGTTGCAATATTTTTACAAACATCACTTAAAAATGCATATATTACACAAATAATGCAAGTTACTACTAGGTTTCTGGCTTACTTCTGATATCTTTTCATATTCCTTGTTAATATTAAGAGTGTAAGGTTAGAAACCGCTAGTGAAGTACACGTATGCAGTGATTCTGGTGAAGAACGTGTTCTTTTTTAAATTTTTGGGATGAAATGACGTGAGATAAGTACTAAATCATAAGTTATTATAATGCTGCCACTTATACAAAAAGACACGCGGCAGTCGCGGGGTATGATTACGGGTATCCCAGAAAAGTTTCAAAATTGGCTCAGGCTAATATTTTCTGATAAGAATTCCAAAAATTTATTTCTCTTCCTTTTACTAAATCTATCCTTCGCGTTTGTGGAGTTATTTTATGGAGTTTGGACCAACAGCTTAGGTAAGGCTTTAGAAATTTTAATCAATGTTATAGGTATTATCAGAGTAATAATAACATTAACTTTATTTTTAGGTTTAATTTCTGATGCATTCCATATGTTCTTCGATTGCACTGGATTGGTGGCTGGACTTGCTGCATCCTTAGTGTCTAAATGGAGAGCAAATGAACGCTACTCTTATGGCTATGCAAGAGCTGAAGTGTTAGCTGGCTTTGTCAATGGACTTTTCTTATTATTCATTTCTTTTTTTATTCTAAAAGAGGCTGTTGAAAGAGCAATAGAACCACCAGAAGTGAGTATGAAATTATTGAAGTTAAAATTAAAAAAGATAATGATATATTCCACTTATACTAGAGAACTAGAGATAGGTTCATTCCCCATACAAACTTTCATCCCCATTTTCACTCCTTTAAGGGACGATTTTCGGGACAAAAACTATCCTTTGTCCTTCCTAGGGTTTCAAACTATCTTTTTCACCTTATTTCATCTAAATCGGTCTAGTAGTTTTGGAGTTTATTCGGTACAAACAAACAAAAAAATCTTTCGTCTTTATAATATTAGTATAGATAATTTCAAAAAGGACCATATTGTTTTCTAATGTAAAAGGTTTGCATATTGCAATGTGTATATTCATTATCAATAAATAACAATAATTATACTTCTATTATATCAGTATCTTAAAAGTGATTATAATGAGACAAATGAGTCACATTGTTTTATCTTTTTACTCAGCAAGTGATTGGAGAGCAAAAAAATGATCTCTGATAATGGTTTAAATATTTTGGTATAAATAGCACAACTCTAAGAAGCTTGTTAAAAATATTTTGATATAAATGCTTAAATATATACTTAGCAACATCAATCTATTTATAATGCATCCGAAACATGTGAGACATTCAAAATTAAATATTTGATGCGATCCCTGAATTATGTAATCATAATAGATTATAATTAGTAATAGATTGAAGCAAGTAATTGTGAAATCCATAATAAATGGTTCCATAGCATGCGTTGTACATTGTATCTTTATGATTAATATAATTTCTTTAGAAACAATTTGGGTTCTTATCATAGGTATATTATTACAATAACAAATAATTTTGGGAATAATTTTTTTATATTAGTATATCATATATCAACTACTTTTCTTTAAAATAGTGTGTTTTAGAAAATATATATATTTTAATTACATATATTAAAGAGCCAAGTACTTAAAATAAAAAAATGATACTTACATTTTATTGACTGATAAGACTAGATATGGAAGTTTTTTCATGAACATAGTGAATAGTATCCATATAATGGCGTCATTGCAATTACTTCCAATATACTTCATTACCAATAATCGAAATCCCATTCAGTCACGTAATATTTACCTTAATAAATTTTATTAAAAAAGAAACATATAACTTTCTACTCAAGCAAAGTGTCGTAACATTTATCTCGATTGTTACGGCCGACGATCGAGCACGTATTTTCCGATCACTTTTGTTGTGAACATTAGCATTTTTCAGATTATAATTTAATGTAATAAGCTAAGTGTAATATTGCAAAATTTAAATAATAATACCTTAAAAATAAAATATAAATATTATTTTCAGGTGAAACACGAACGCTTACTTGTCGTGTCTATACTCGGGTTCCTAGTCAATCTAGTAGGCATATACGCATTCCACCACGGCCATGGTCACGGGCACGGCGGCCATGGTCATTCTCACAGCCATGGTCACTCCCATAACCATAACCATGGTCATTCCCATGATGAAATCGAAGCACCCACGGGCGCTGGGTCAGCCATCATGCGTGGTGTTTTCCTGCACGTGCTCGCCGACACTTTAGGCTCGGTTGGGGTGATCATATCAGCTATTTTAATGCAACTATTCGGATGGATGCGAGCAGACCCGATATGCTCGATGGCTATAGCGCTCCTTATAGCGGCTAGTGTGTTCCCACTACTCCTGGACTCGGGTGGTGTTCTCATGCAACGTACTCCGACGTCCATAGAACGTGCTCTTCCTAATCTATACACGAGAGTAGTGGGTTTAGCTGGTGTCCATGCGGTGCAAGAGCCACATTTCTGGACTTTATGTAGTGACGTTCATGTTGGTGTGATAAAATTAGAGGTCGCCAGAGAAGTGGACCCTCGGTACGTCACTGAGCAAGCAGCAAGAATTTTCCGGGAGGCCGGAGTCAAACACCTCACAGTTCAGTTAGATTATTCCCCGCTTTGATCGGAAGCATAATCACAAATGTACATAACCACCAAGTGGACATTTTATTGTATATAGGGCAAGTTATTTAATTTTGTGCAAATTTATTCAAATGCCAACTTGTGATTTAACGGCATATTTGTCTGAGATGTCTGAATAGAAAATTGTAGATAATCTGTACTTTGTAAAGTCTCTATACTATTATGTAATTTAGACAAAAACCCAATATGCTTGACATTGAACTCACAAATTTGTTTAGAAGTATACAGGTCTCTAAATTAAGTTATCAAAGCAAACGAAGCTTCCAGCCATAGCAAGTGGTAGTTTCAAAAGTTAGTACGAACCTATGTACAGATTGATGTATGTTATTAGACAATTAATGTTCTATTAAAGTGTAGGTGATGCTTCCTTCCTTTTTATCTTTTATACAAAATAAAATTGGAGACATAAATAGTATTAGAGATATTTTGAATTTTATTTTATTATTATATATTTTTTTATAAATATGTTAATTTTTCTATTATTTGTATGATTTATTATAATGTCCAATAATTTTAACACAGTATTCTTCAAAAGCTCCTAGTATGTTATATGTACATATATTCAATAATTTTTTACTTACATAATAAATATATATAAAATGCAATGTGCATTTATCTGTAGGTACAGTAATGTAATTTTTATATCAAAACGTATTTACTTACTAAGCCATAGAAACTGTTCAGTTTAATCAATAAAATTCAATAGTTTAGATTTCTTAAATTTCGCAGTTTAAATTTAATAAAATAAAAATAAATGATAAAGAATTTTACTTTAATACTTATTTAAAAATATTATGAAATTATTGCAAACTTTAAAAGTAACAACCATTTTGTTTATCAAACTTGGTGTAATTGGAAGTAAGTGTATTATGTAAATTAACTAATTCAATGAAATGCCAAATTACCATTCAGTAAGGTTTTTTCAGACTATTGCAATATTTTATTATCATTGGTTAGTGATTTGTGATATAAGAATAGAACCTGTTCTACATCGAACGTGAAACAATAAAAAATATAAGTTCAACACAATATACAAAAAATTAGATACACAAGGAGGGCTCTGGCTATCGTTTCTGCCGGCACCAGTTGGCGCCACTGGCGAGTAAGGTCCTGTAGCAGTTGTTGAAAAAGTATTTGCAACCAATTAATTTAATAAATCATAATTGTTAGCGCGAAAACAATTTTATCAGGATTTTAAATTATTTAAAATAATAATAAGAGAATAAATAAAATATTGACTTTTTCTTAACTCTTCTTTTACAGCAATAACATAATTGATCAGGAATGGCACAATCTTTATAATAATCATGAATAATAGAGATCACTCAAAAAGTGCACAATTCGAAATTGAATTGTGCTTTTTTTTCATCTCTTTTTCTCATTGCTTGTCGGATGACAAAATTAAAACGCACGTTTTGTTTAAAAAAATACTTTACGTAGTGTGCGTAAGTTCGAATTTGTGTTTAGACAATTAGAACTTTCTTTGGTTTGGCTTAACGTCTCATGTCGACGCAACTTTTTGAAAATTTGTTAGGAAATGTGTATCTATATTTTTATATATCAGTGGTTCAACATGATGGCTCTTGGTAAGAGCTTTTTAAAGTAAACACGACACTATTTATTATTGATATGTTCCAGCAATTTTTTACGAAAAGCGCAGTTAGCAATTATTACCTAATTAAAATGAGCGATTATCGAAAACTCGTACTAAGGGCCCGTCAGTAAAGTTAGAATTCATTCTGTGTTGTAACATTGTGCCTAAAACTATTTTCAACATCTAAAATTAGCATAAAAATTAGATTGTATTAAAAAATAGAAGAAAACCTTTTACCAATTGTCAAATGTCTTAAATAATAAGTTTTAATGCGAATGATCGATTATTGCATTTATTTTGCAGCAAATCAAAAATAATTATAAGTAATTATAAAACATTTTTAAAAATTTAAAAACAGGGCTCATAATATATAAAATAGAAATAAAACAAAAATGAGTTTTTCAGTAAATCGTTTTTTTTACATCCTTACCAACGAGACATCGTTCATATACATACAAACATTTATTTAAATAATAAATTTGTTAAGTAAAGGAAAATTGTTTTATTTAATTAATAATACGTGACTTCGCCACGAGATCTGCAACGATTTAATCACACTGGAGCACTTGTGATGAAATGCTGAAGTTAATTTTAGGATTTTAAAAAGAAACAACTACATACAAAACAATAATGTCATATGATCATGTACACCCAATTTAAAAGATTTAGATTGTCCACCAAGCCATACTTGGCCAGAGTGGTGGACTATGGCCTGAACCCCTCGTATTTTGTAACGTTAAGAGCTGAATATAAGATATTAATAAAATTTTGAGCAGTGTATTACAAAAAAAAAATACAGTAGTATGGATTTTTCTACATTTTACCAAAGAAACATTCGAAAAACATAGGAATTATGTTTGTTTTGTATTTAGTACAAATTCAAAAAATTACATTGACAAATCTAAATGTTTGTGCTATAGCATGCATTTAAAAAATAAATCCAGTGTGACTAGATCTGTGTGTAATAAAAATTATTATTCAATAAGTTTTTTGGCTTTAAAATATCTGCGGAGATACAGCACCTGCCACGTGGCGAGTCCCAGCAGGCAGATCATAGAGAATATGCTGAAAAATAGCACACGGTTGTTTGTTGATTCTGAAACAATAAAATATGTACTTAGTAATGATCATATTATGCCAAATATAAATTTATGTTGGGACTAATGTCCCACACACCAGCGCCATCTAGTTCCATGGTAAGCTACGAGGCTTGTGTTATGGATACCAGATAGTTGATACACTACACATATGTAACTTTAAATTAATACATATAATATACACCCATGACTGGCGTACAAACATTCGTGCTCATCACACAAATGAATGCGCCCAGCGGGATTCGAACTAGTGACCACTGGCACAGCAAGTAAGGTCACTACAAACTCAACCAAACGTGTCGTCTCGTGACGCCAAATGAGTTAGGTTATATTATTGAGAATTTTCGTTCAGAAAACGGTCACTAAGGGAACCGTTACATGAAATTACCGTCCTTACAATAGAGCAAAAATTTCTACAATTTTTCTTATTTTCTGTACAAAATTTCACCAACCATCTTTAAAAGTAAAACGAGATATACAGATGCCTGGAGAGTGAAAGCTAGCTTAAATGATAGAATTTCATCCAATCTTTTGGATATACAAATCTGAGGGCACAGCAGCGCCCCCGCCAAGTCGATCATATAACCCTTTTGGAACTATCAGTCAGATTAGTCAGAAAGAAGAAAAAATATTTTTACAATTTACACTTTGTATGTTTATTAAAGAAAGTTTTTTTTTATATTAATTTATTTCTTTAGGCATAGAAATAGAAAACAAATGAAAAAATTATAACTAGATATCTAAAATTATATCTACACAACATTAAAAATCAATATATAAATAAACCTAACCAAGCCATGCCTATTGTTTACATGTTACACAATTCTTCCAAGGAGAAAAGTATTTTTCACTAAACGTTGAAATAAAATTAAATGAAAATACCATTAGTGTCTCTCATTTCTTCTTCCCTCTTCCTCATAAGAGTGAAGTCTTGAACAATTGCTTCAGATAAATCTTCTAACCTCTTCAGTTCCAACTCCATGGGTTTTAGCTTTGCAGCTTCACCAATCTATAAGAAAAAAACAAATATAATATTATGTGACCTTATGTTTTGTTTTATTTAATAATATAAACATTTCCTTTGGTTTAGCTAGCATTTTATATTTCAATAAATATATTTTTATTGAATATTTATTTTATTGATAAAAATAGTATATATATATGTACATATTTTCAAACCACTCATAAGCAAAGAAGATATGAAATGTCCAAAATGTTAATAAGCAAATCACACAAAGAAAATATTAGTCATATGTATCTAATTCTTGTTGAAGTTCATATAAAATTAACAAATGATAAATTATAGATCTTAAAAAGGTATATTATGGCTTTAAAAAAATCTCTAAGTAAAGGAAAGTTCCAAAGAATATAGAAAAATAGCAATCAGGTTATGGATTTGTACTGCATAATGCATATTCACAGATGGTGCTTATATTTTTTCTGATTGTGAGTATATACTATAACATGGTTAAAAATTGTTGTTACAGGTTTCATTAAATTCAGTATCAATTTTGCAATATTTGTCATATTTTAGTTTACACATATTAGTAATATAGTACAGAACTTGTTATCAATATATCCATAACAGTCACAAAGTGTTTTCTGACTGTAATATCTATAATGACATATAATAGTTGAATATAAATGGTATCTAAGTTACATTTTGCAACCACTTCCCATTATAATAAAAGATCACATGTATATACTACCATAATGTTACTACTTTAAATGATAAAATTATAATAAATTTGACTATTTCTCGAGTTGTGGCAGTTATTTAAAAACTATAATGAGGGATAATGGGTTTTATTAACATTTGGAAATAAGAAAGTGAGAACTTCTCATCAATGTTTCATATCTAGTATAGATGAATTCATTAAATGATGATGTTCTATACACATATGTATGTTACAGTTGCGTTGTTAAATGGAAGTTATTTTTCAAAATATTATTAAAACTTCTATGAGAGAACAAAGTTCTCTTAAGAAATCATCAAGTTACAAATATAAAACACTTATGAAAGTTTTTTAGGATAGTTAGTCATTGGTGAAATGGTTAGTTATCAAGCACACACTATTACCCAAGAATTCTGGCAGATGTAGATTGTCATAGACGGACCACCGATAAAAAAGAAATACAACGATATATAAATGTGATTTAACTAAAACATAATATAGTAATATTAAGTTTGTATTTGGACAAGAATGTTAAATTATATGCATTTTTATAGTGTGGATCCTATAATTAAAATAAAAATCAATAAATTTATTATATATCTGCTTGAGTTTTAAATGCACATAATTTAATATCTCCAACTAACCCATATTATTAGAAATAAATAATTACTAGTACATATAAGTTTCTTAAGTGAAGAGATTGAAAATCAAAGCTAGAAATAAAAATTACAATAGTAATTCTAATTACATTAAAATACTATTTAACTTTTACTTACGCCTTCATAATTTTTAGCTTCAATTCCCACTTTGATATCTAAAGTGACGTCTTGAGACACACCACGGCGTTCTGAAAATATAAATAAATATTAATAGCTTACTTTTTTAAACATTGTTAACGAGGTAAATACTATAAGTGTTTAGAGAGATATAATTTTGAATGGCTATATTTACACAATTATTTATTTGTATGAATTAAATATTTATTTAAAGCTTTCTAAATAAAATCAGTAGATTTGATACTATACTTATTAAATTTGATTTATGATTTATTGCATTAGAGATAAGATAATATTAAATCTATAAGATAAAAGTAATTAAAATTACAATAATTATAAAATACCCTATTACTGGAAATGTTTTTCAATCATATAATAGTAAAAATATATACCTTGGGGTACTTTTGATATGAAACACACTTCAAATGTGTCATATGTTTCTGTGACAAATGTGAATTTTCCCTTACTAATGGCATCCTTCTGAGCTAAAATATGCCCTTTTGAATCTCGAACCTGTATAAAATATGAATAATTAAATATGCTACTTTTGTGTAACATAGAAGAATTAGTAATGATTTAATTTCTAACAGCTAGCTGATTGTAGTCTTATCAGAATTGAATGGAGCTTTACTTTATGGTAGCAGGTTACATCAAGATATTAGAATGAAAATTATTTACCATTCATAAGCCATATTTTGGTTAGTATAACAATAAAGATACAATTAAATATATCTATTTTGTATAGAAATGTTCTCATTTTTGATAGCTAGATTAGAAAGTGTTATGTTGACGCGCGTCGTAACTAAAATAGATTTAGGTAATATAAATTTATAAACTTACAATGTAATCAATTCTCTGGCCATCAGCTTCTGTTATTTCATATTCACCGGCTACGAGCACGTTTGCATGTAGTTCTTCTTTCAAGCACTTCTGCGTGTTAGGAGCTAAACTCCACATAATAGCATCACTTCCATGGCAGAAAATACACAAAAATAATACGAGATATTGTACCTCCATGTTTTTATTAGTTTCTAGTATATATTATCGTACAATAAATATGTTACAATTCATAACTCTTTGAAAACAAACATATTATTCTGTGTCAAAAAGACCGATGAGTTGGCCCGAAAAATGAGAAACGTCGGCGCTCATGAAAATGGATCAAAATATGTTGCCACATTTATTATAATTTGCAATATCTGTCAAAATCATTATTTACCTATTTAATTATATTAATTATTAAAATTTAACATATTATTGTGCTACGCTTTTAAAAAATCGTTTATTAACAAATATATAAATGTATTTCATATTTTGTTGAATTAAAACGTTTAAAATTATTTTTTTATTAGTGAACACTAGCATAGGCACATTAATAGTTGTAACTTGTAGCATTTATTATTCATTCATGGTTGTAAGTAAGCATTTAAAAATCTTGTTACATTATTTACGGTTAATATTTTTTTAAATTAAATGATGCGGTCTAATATTATTTACGAATTAGCAATTGGTCAAAATATACCTTAAAATAAAAAATATAACTTCTTTTAGTATAAAATTATACTGCAAATAATAATTTAAATAATACTATTTTTATTTAAATAAACTAATAAAGATGTAATAATTTAAATGTAGTTTTAGGACCTCATGTGTATGAGCACTATTATATGCAAATTATACCTTGGTGTTGCATTAGCACATAAAATATTATGAAAGTTGAAACTTGAAACGTCAATTTTCTAACCTTGTTTGCTAATAGAAAATTCAATATAATCTCTTGAGTTATGAAAATTTTATACTTATACTATTATTTCGTTTATGTAAATGTTTTGAAAAATCCTTTACTTTCGCAAAGTATTAATTTTTTGACATTGGTATATTCTGGAATGTTTTTAACTACGTGAATTTGACAGATCCTTAGTTATTTTTATTTCGTATTAATAATTATAGACTTAAATGATAGTCACGGCTTCATTTAGAGAAATCAAATAGTTACTAATTATAATAATTTGTATGTCAGTAAGTAATTTTTGTTTCTAAAAGTATTATTTGAGTTTACATAATAAGTTAGCAACTTCCTACTTTTACGACTAGTTTGGAACAATTGTTATAAAAATTAGATTATATGTTTTTTACTTTGCTAGTTTCGCGTTTTTTTTACCATGAATCTTATATTAAAATATTAATAAATAACATACCATGATAAGTAAGAAATATTTTCCCTAAACTATCTACTAAAATATCAAATCACTGTGATTTTGAAAATAGTTAATTAAAGTAGTACAATTCAAAAAGAAAGTATTGTATAAAAATGTATATTATATACAGAAATTACATAAGAATTTCTTGTATTTCAGATTTAAGTTTGTATCGAAGAATGTTTTGTTTTGTTTGTAAAGATGTGATATAATGAATATGAGGAAACTATAGAAAAATGAGGAAATGTATACACCAAATTCTAGTTACCAATTGTATCAGGCTGAAATAAGGTAAGACCAAAATAGAATATTATAAAAGTTGTTGTTTATATTTATAATTTATTTTTATTCCACATTTATGTTCTGAATTAGAGTAAATACTTTTCTAACAAACTTAAATTAAATGTTATTTTGTTTTTTGTTGTTAATTCGAAGAATTGTGGGATTTATTTGTGTCTCTTTCATAAAACATTTTATATGGAGGCTATTTTTTATGTTTTATTGAAAAATAAAATCATTGTTTTAATTTTGATATTTGATTTTTTCATTAGTAAAATGGCTAAATATTTTATATTATTTGTTATTGTTCTCTCATTTCAATATTTCATAACTGTTGCTGCAATTTAATTATATCAAACTTCAAATTTAAATTCACATTTAAAATATTTTATTTAGCATTAATTTTTTACAATTATTTACTTAACATAGTCTACTACCAGAAAAAGAGCTGCTCTTTTTATTGTTCCAGAAACTTATTTAATGAAAATTTCATAAACAGTTCTACTAGTTTTTATACTGATGATCACTTGTTATGTTAATATAGAAAGAATTTTGTTTACTTACCACATATCATGCACATACATATTGAATAGTAAATGCCTTGGTGGTTTAGGGGCTAGCATGTACGGCTAATTATTATGCTTAAGCTGTTAACTATGAAGAGATTTTAAACTATATGGCTTCTAAGTTTAAATGTAAAAAAGTAAAAAACAAAATATTCTAAAATTGACTTGAATTATTACAGAAATAAATATAAAAATTGTACCCTTGATAGAGTAGATGGTATAAAAGAAACCACAAGTTAAAGTTATATTGGACTAGCAATTCCACTTGCTTCTGATTTGTCCATAGACAAAAACAACAGTCGGGAACACCCACTCGCTCTATCCCACGGAACCATACATTTTTTTGGGATAAAAAGCAACCTATGTGCTATTCCAGACAATAATCTATCTCTCTGCCAAATTTCATTCAGATCCATTCAGCCGTTGTGGTGTGAAAGAGTAACAAACATCCATCCATCCTCACAAGCTTTGACATTTATAATATTAGTATGGTCTATGGATATTTTAAGACTAGATGGCGTTACTTGTTATCTCATAAACATTACATGAATCATGTAATGATAATAAAGATGTAATAATTTATATACATACATATTTTTATGATATTTGTTGATTGACTGTTTTATTTAAATTTACTTTTATAAAACGAGATTGGCGAAATGTAGGATAGCTTTTATATCATGAAGAGATGAGTTTTTGACCAACATTGAAAAAGGAGGTAATAATAATAATTATTAACTTGTTATTTATATTACAATTTAAGTGTATATTTTACTCCATATCTTCCCAAACTGAGTATTTACTTACATGATTCGTTCTTTAACAAATATGCCTTAGCTTAAGAGTGGTCCCATATATGTAAAATTTATATTAACTATTCAACTTCTAAGTATCGATTTATTTTTTTAATTGAACAAGTCTTTTTTTTGGGCGTGTATATTTCACGCTTCAATAATATAATCTGGTTTCTAGTAATCTACACATATAATAAAATTGTAACAAAGTCGAATCAGTACATTAAATATTATTTGGAAAATTTAATTGAAATAGACATTATTATCGATACAGAGTCCGAATCTATAGTTTTTAGAATTTTGTCTGTCTGTCGGTCTGTCGGTTACCACATCACAGAAAGACCACTGGATAGATTTTGATGAAATTTGGTATGATGATAGCTGGTTATCCGGGTCAACATATAGGATACTTTTTACCGCGGGAAAATATCTCCTTTCTGAGAAAAAGTACAAAAACTTCCTTATAAGAGTATAACTAATATGTGAAGCCTAAGAATTTGGTTTTTGGTCATCTGAACGCGGGCGGAGCCGCGGGCAATGCTAGCAATCAATATCATTAACTTTTTTATATCTATTCAACTCTTAAATGCATCACTTCGCATTAAACAAAGTCAAATGAAGCGGGTTTACACGTGCGAAAAAAATTCAACGTGATTACCACGTCTTGCTAATAGGGTAATGGAAAACATCATGAGGAAACTGCATGTCTGATGTCCGACAGAAACTAAGTTTGCGACAGAAGTGTGAACTTCGCCAACTTTTCGCATGGTGGGGAAGCCTAAGACCTGTAGTGGGATGTTAAAAAGGTAGAATTATTTAATTATATTATATGACTAGCATTGACCGCGGCTCCGCCCGCGTTCAGGTGACCAAAAACCAAATTCTTAGGTTTTACATATTAGTATACTTTTACATTGAAGTTTTTGTATTTTTTCTCAGAAATGAGACATTTTCCCGCGGTAATAAGTATCCTATATGTTGACCCGGATAACCAGCTGTCACAATACCAAATTTCATGAAAACCCCTCCAGTGGTTTTTCTGTGATGCGGTAACAGACAGACAGACAAAAATTCTAAAACGTATAAATTCGGCCTCTGTATCGATAATAATGTTTATTTCAATAAAATTTTCCAAAAAAATATTTAATGTACTGATTCGGCTTGGTTACAATATTATTATATGTATAGACTAGCGACTTACCCTCGCATTTTGAACTTTTTTACGCGGAACTTTTAATTCTTTTCCTAAAATAAAAGTAGCCTAAGTTACTTCTTATAACATGCCAGTGAAAATGTATGCCATGCCAGTGAAAGTTCCGTCAAAATGAGTCCAGCCGTTTCGGAATTAGCCGGAATAAACAGACAGACAAACATTTTAATTTTTTTTATTAGTGTCATATATACTTTCATATGTATTTAGTAAAAAGCTGTTATTTTGACATTACAAACAGACACTTCAATTTTACCCAGCTACTCATTCAGACACTATTGTCTACATCTTCATTTAAATATCACTTACGGGTGTCATCTATCAAATAAAGAATAGTACGAGTATATTTGCGGTTACGATATTTAATGAGGATAAATAAGATTAATGTAAACACATTTATTGTATTAAACACGTATATATATTTCAAAATATTTTTAAACATTTGGAAATTTTTGTCAATTTTGTACTATAGTGATATGTACGCGTAAGGCAAATAATTTAATACTTACAAATCTATCCCATGGGAACCGTACATTTTTCCGGAATAAAAAGTAACCTACTTATGTACTATTCCAGTCTATATATAACCTATCTGTATGCCAAATTTCATCCAGATCCGTTCAGCCGTTTTGGCGTATTTGAGTAACATACATCCATCCAAACTTTCGCATTTATAATATTTATTAAGGGATTAGTTTTAATTCTAACCCATCTATCAACTATTAAAGCTGATAAGGGATAAAAAAATTAATACTACAGATGAAAAGGTTACAAAATAAAAGTCAAAAATGGAATTATTTAAATTTAACAACACTCGGCTCAATTAAAGTTGATTTAATTTGTTAACTACCGCAACTGTATTGTATATATCAGGCGTATCTGTTAGCTGTTATTTAATATGTTATCAGTCTTTTTGTAAGTGGTTCCCATATGGTTGTGCCATCTAGTGCCATGCCTGGTTGAGTGCCAT